CAACACATTTTTGCAGCCTGAAGATGCAGGAAGTTCATTCTTGGCCATGTTGGATTGCCTTTAAAGGCAACATACTTGGGTTTGAGGCAACACCCACAGCAGGTTTTAACAAGAAAGTGTGTGTCATTTTTGCCAGAGGGGTATCCCTAAATCATGAGAACATTACTAAAAGCCTCAAGAAAGAATCTGAATAGTCCATTGAAACGATTTCAGGCTCTAAAGTTTAATCATACAAAGATTGTTTGAGGCACTTGGTAGCAAGGAAAGAAGAAATATATGCAAATTAAATTCTATACAGTGCTCAGCATATATGAGTACACCCCTCACAAATCTCTCATTTAAATTCATATTTTCTATAGGAAGCTTTACAATATTACATTTGTGCATATACATTAGATCAGTCAGTACTGAAGCCAAACCTGGAGCTAATCTAAAAGAATATCTTGCAATAATGGTTTAAAATTTAGTAGCCCAAATGTGTATATATAAGGGGAAAAAAATTAAACAACATTTTCAAAAATAGCAAAAATCAAGAGAAGCAAAAAATGTATACAATTTTGTTGAAATGTTGTAGTTTGTAATTTTATTTTGCATGAATTTAAATGTATTATCTTTCCATTTCTAAATAGAAATGGATTCAAATATAATTTTTATAAATATATCTGTTTAATTAATCTGTTTTGTTCCAATGCACCAATATATAGTAGCCATATCCACTGAGAAATGGAGAAAAATATTCATTTTCAAAATGGGGTGTTGAGCACTGTATATGTTTATTAGGGCTTCACGATATTGGGAAAAAAAGATGACACTGCAATATTTTCATTTACTGCCATATATATTGCAATATATATCATTTTAAATCAATTGGGACGATTCTGTATGTACATGTATATATGTACTACACATATACTTACATGTATGGAATAAAATCACTGTCATAAATATTTCGTGAGTAAATAAAATTCACGCATCCGTAATTATAAAATCATAAAGGAAAAAGGAACATACTCGTAATTTTACGAGGGTACAATTCCAAAATCTGCGATTAGAACAGACACAGATACGACACTTTCTTTGTCTGTTTGTATATGACTGATAAATTTAAGATGGGTGTACTTTACAAACACGAAATACAGTTTTACCACGGACACGAAGTCCTGATTCGAGTACGAATTAAACAGCGACACTCCACTGTCAAAATTACGTCACCGCTGTCACAGGCATTAATAAACAAGCGAGAGTCATCGATCACAACGGTGACTTAATCAACAGATGTCATGTTATAGTTAACAGTGTTCAGTGATTCACTCATACTGCGCTTGCTGTCCTCGGCCCATTCTTAATTTTTATTCTGTAAAATGTCCAAGAAACACTGTGAAAATGAACCTCATTAAGTCTCAACCTTTATTACAGCTCATGACGGACATTTCTCAAAGAAGGAATAACAAAACTCTTACCTGATACGGTGTGTGGGGGCTCTGAGTGCCCAGCAGGCGCGCCGTTGTGATTGATGTGAATATTTATGACAGTGATTTTATTCCATATACATGCTAGTATGATTTTAAAAATGACAAGCAAAGTTAAATACAACAGATACAAATAAACGATTTATGATTTTCCGGGGAGTCAAACAGTATTCAAAACAAAAACTAAATCACTGTATAATAATAATAATGTTTTTATTAAAAACTCTTGAGGGAAAAATAATTTAAAATGACTCCGCTATGTTAACTGTAATGTCTGGTCAACTATAATCCCAATCACATTGCAGATCATTGCGATATCGATGCTGAAACGATATATCGTGCAGCCCTAATATATATTTCTACAACAGTTCTGTCTGGTTCTTGAATCTGATTGGCTGATAGCCGTGCAATATTTTGTCTATAACAGCACACAAAGCCCTCTTCAACATTTACCTTTGTGTATAACTCCACTCACATACAGGCAGCAAACAGCAGAGAGACTACAGTTTGACAAATATTACTGCTGTTAGACAACAAAATGTACCTTTGAGGCTATTTTAGTCAAGAATGTAGTTGTTTAGATTGCATCTACGCAGTTTATTCATAAGGATAGTGCCTATTTTAAAATATTTATCATTTCTGAGAGATTGTCAGTGTTCATTAGTCAAAGACGTTTGTCGTTTTCGATCCACAAGATGGCAACAGAACCGCATAATAAGCCCTTGCTTAGAAGATTTAAACTGTTGTGTTTTCTTGAGCTTGAATAAGAAGCGAAAAGCGAAAAACGAAAGCGTCACAGTTTTTAAGGTGGACTGGATAAAGTTAATAAGAAGCTGCGAAAAAGAAGCTGGATTCAGCCTCGTCTCTCCTTATCGCAAACCCAACAGCGGTCTGGTAAGTTAGTGATTGCGCTGCTTTTTTCTAGGTTATTATTGTGATGTTGTAATGGTTGCTTAATGTTTGATATACATTGTGTATTAATGTCCCCTTTAAGAGGACTATTCCTGTGGTTGTTTTACCTTTGAGATGTAAGCACGCATGTATGGCAGCTCAGTTCAGTTCTGGCGAGCTCTGAGGACAAGTGTGTGATAGTCGCTAATAATGTAACATTTTATTTTGCGACGGATGTTTGAGCGTCTTTCTTTTCCTTTTGCCTACTCATTGTCGTTGACTGGCATGTATGTAGTCAACAGTACTTGGGAGAAATGCATACAGGCCAATAGGAAGAGCGAAATAGTTTCTGTCTCCTGTTTTTATTCCTTAAAGTCTCCGGGTAAACGCTGGTACACCTGGCACCCATCACAATACCGACAGCAACAGGGAAATACTGTAATAGACTGTAGGGAGAAATCTCTGTAGACGGATGGCATTTCATGTCACGTTCAGCCTCATAATCTTAAAGTGTGAGCAAAATCAGCTGTTTTGTCATCACTTTATACATTACTCTATAGAGAATCATTCAAACACTAGCTCTAAAGCGATGTTGGTGAATTAGTAACGGCTTCTGCTGTTCTGACGTCAGCTGCAGATGTGAATGAATGGCGGAAGAAAGTAGTTCCTAATGCAAAAGAGTCCTAGGGTGCTTTCACACCTGTGAATCGATTCAGTTGTTCCGAAACAGAGATTACAAATGATACATTGTTGCTCTTTGCTATTGGAGCGGTTCACTTTTACACTGCAACGTTTCTAATCGGACCAAAAGAGCTAAAACAAGTCACGTGTGAGTAAACTCTCCTCGCATTGGTCAGAGTGTCAGGGTTTATTTTGCAGAGTCCTGTTCAGCTGTCAGGGGAGGTGGTGGTTTGGTGGTGATTGACAAGGTGCGCGCGACATGTCTGAAGAGTGAGGAGAGATGTGGTGGGGAGGGGTGAGAAGGGTGCACGACGTAGCCTATTTGAGGACCGGGAGGGAGGCACGAGATAATCGGGAGATTATCATTCGTTTGCGGGCATCCGGAGACTCGCGAATCTTCCCGCTCTACTCATAATTCTCTCTTCATATAGCCGTATGCCTATTACATATCCATAAAACACTGTGATATAACCGCACTCGGATTGGATCGCTTTCTCACTGCAATCGCACCGCTTCAGAGTTCCTTTCAATCGAGCCGAGACCACCTCACTCAAGCGATCTCGGAGCGATTGATTTGGCGCGGATCCAAGATCGCTTGCTGCTCCAAAATATTTTAAATCTTTCAAAAATTAAAACATATTGTTTTCAAAGGGGGTTTTTTGTTTGTTTTTTACCCAGACATTTAAAAAGAATATGTATTAGAGCAATACAGCGAAAGTGTGATATTTTTATCCAAGGTTATCATGCCGTCAGAATCATAGACTGGTCAGTATCTAATACCGGCCCACGCCTACTGCCTATAAGCGAATTAAGTGGCTGCTTAGGGCCCCGCCGCCACTAGGGGGACCTCACAACCCGCTAGTGGTGCAAGCAGTTTCCTTGCTGAAATTGTTTTTATCTACATTTTACAATTATCTTCATTGACAGTGCTTTTGTACTTAAATAGTATACATTTTCACAAAAAAACTAATGATAAAAAATAGAAAATAAATGAAAATAATGAAAACTATTTTATTAAAGTTGAAATTGTTTTCATGTAAAGGTCATGTGATCAACAGCAAGCTAGCAGGATCTGTTAAAGACATAATCTAATAGCACATTTGTCAAAAATAGGCAATTACTGATTAATAAATCACATCTACTTGTAGAAAATATTTTATTTAATTTTTTTATTATTATTTATTTATTTATTTATTTTTTGCCTAAAATGCATTTTATTGAAATCCAAAAATACTGAAGTGTCTTTCACTGACATACTTTGCACACTGGTAATATTTTTCCTGAGACACATTTATAAAAGTTATGTCCTGATTGAATTAATCATACTTTAATATGAGCTCTGGACACTGCATCTCAAATGTAAGGAACAGAACAGGCTGAAGGGAATAATAAAGTTTGGGTATTAACATTCACCCAGTACTTGTTGCCTTCCTCATGGTTTTTATAAAAATATTTTTCAGATTTATATGATTTGCTTATTGATTTTATTATTTATGGATCAATCTTTGCATTAATGTTAATTGTTTTGTTGTTGTTTTTTTTGTGGGTCGGTTTGCAATGGCAATACTTCACTATTTAGAGCAAGGTAGGGTCCCAAAATTATTCTGCTTAGGGCCCCCAAATGTACAAGGCTGGCCCTGATTATCAGTATGGTTATTAGAAAATGTATGACAAGTTTTGGTAATTTAATTTTCCTTCAAAATGAACATTCATAAGTACTTATATCAGTACTTATAAGTAAAAAACAAACAAACAAAAAAAACGAGTAGTTCTGTACTTTGACTGAAATAATATTGTAAAAAGGACTTATACTTTCACTTTACTTAATTTTTATTAGGGTATCTGCACTTTTACTTTCACTGTTTTACTTTTAAGTACTTAATTTGTTTACTTGTCCATCACTGGCTTGCCAAAACGTGTTTTTTTTTGTGCATAAGCATTGGTAAGAATTTCATTTGGAAGTAAAATAGACATTTTTTATTTTATTTCCAAAGGTAGAGATTATTCAAACACACAAAATGGGTCAAAACCACAGTTTAGTCAAGTGTTAAAAGCTGCATAAGAGGAATCCGCACTAGTGTGCTTGGTCTGCATGTAAATGGCGAAGTAGCATATTAACAAGTCTCAAATCTCTGATTCATCATCTATGTATTTCAGTGACATCTGACCTGTGGACCCAGCAGTGGTCGAGAGTCTGTCTGTTTCTCTAGAGCTGGAATACCTCTGGTCATTGGCGTGGTTGTTGTTGCTGTTGAAGTTCACTACCGATGATGCTAGTCTCTGTGGCTGAACCTGGTTAGCATCGTCTTCGTGCCTGTTTTGCGTGTCTTTTACCCTCCTGTGTAAACATGGCAGAGACAAATGGCCTTTGTACAGGTTCCATATCAACAATGCAGCTAGAACTAGTGACAGTATCACCACCATGGCCACTAGGGTGCGCTCTTTTTCCTTAACATGATGAAGTGACGCTGTGGTTCCAGATTCGGACCACATCTTTACATCATACGCTACATGCTGAGTCTGGTATTTGCGCTGGGAGACGGTCTCGATGGAGCTGCAGATGTAGTAGCCGGTGGCGTCCAAAGATGCGTTGAATATCATCAAGCCATCGGAGAGGATCTGGATGGTATTTGATGGTTTGATTGGCTCCCCGTTTAACTGCCATTCAACCTGCGCCAGGTTGGAATAAGGCTGGCAGCCCAGCTTCACAGTATTCCCGTGGTAAAAGGAGATGTTGACTGGTTTACTGACACCTGTAACACAAGTTCTAGATGTAACATTCGAAGTAGAGATGAAATCAGAGCTAACCATATTGATTTTGTTAGCGTACATTGCTAGTTTTGTGGTGAACAATACATCTGTGCCTGTCATTAAGAAAAAAAAAGTTTCTGTTGAATTTAAAAAATGTTGAAGTCTAAGGGTGCTTTCACACCTGTGAATCGATTCAGTTGTTCCGAAACAGAGATTACAAATGTTACATTGTTGCTCTTTGCTATTGGAGCGGTTCGCTTTCACACTGCAAAGCTTCTAATCGGACCAAAAGAGCTAAAACAAGTCACGTGCAAGTAAACTCTCCTCACATTGGTCAGAGTGTCAGGGTTTATTTTGCAGCGTCCCGCTGTAAGCTGTCAGGAGAGGTGGTGGTTTAATGGTGATTGACAGGGTGCGCGCGCGACGTGTCTGAGGAGAGATGCGGTGGGGAGGGGTGAGAAGGGTGCGCGATGATGCCTATTTGAGGATCTGGAGGGAGACGCGAGATTACCCGGAGATCATCACTCGTTTGCGGGCATCCGGAGACTCGCGAATCTTAAGGGTGCTTTCACACCTACACTTTTGTTTCGGAACGTATCTCGTTTGCCCAGTTAGCGCGGTTCGTTTGGCATATGTGAACAGGGCAATCGCGCTCTGTTCCGCGCCAAAGTAATCGCTCCGAGATCGCTTGAGTGAGGTGGTCTCGGCTCGATTGAAACGAACCCTGGAGCGGTTCGATTGCAGTGAGAAAGCGATCCGATCCGAGCGCGGTTATATCACAGTGTTTTATGGATATGTAATAGGCTTACGGCTATATGAAGAGAGAATTATTAGTAGGGCGGGAAGTTTCGCGAGTCTCCGGATGCCCGCAAACGAGTGATGATCTCCCGGTAATCTCGCGTCTCCCTCCCGGTCCTCAAATAGGCATCGTCGTGCACCCTTCTCACCCCTCCCCACCGCGTCTCTCCTCAGAGACGTCGCGTGCGCACCCTGTCAATCACCACCAAACCACCACCTCTCCTGACAGCTTAGCGGGACGCGGCAAAATAAACCCTGACACTCTGACCAATGTGAGGAGAGTTTACTCGCACGTGACTTGTTTTAGCTCTTTTGGTCCGATTAGAAACTTTGCAGTGTGAAAGCGAACCGCTCCAAGAGCAAAGAGCAACAATGTATCATTTGTAATCTCTGTTTCGGAACAACTGAATCGATTCACTGGTGTGAAAGCACCCTAAAAATGCACTTCCTGTGTGTTTTCAGTTAAATTCTCAGATGACATCTGTCTGAAGTATTGTGTGTGGTTAACATAACCACCACCGCCCCTTAACTGTCGATTTAGACAGCGCTATGACAACAAACAGAAATGGTGAAGAGGAGGAGGTTAGGTTGTAATAACTCTCCCAAACCTTTCCCTGACCTTTCTGAATGAAATGCCCACTTTACTGCATCCATTTAGCAAACACACAAGCAACACCCCCTGCTTTCTTATTTAATATTCTGTTCCTTTAGGAACTGCATCACAATACGAAAACACATATGGTTCCAGCTTCTGGTTCATGGTGACTTTAATGTTTCAGTAATAACACACAGTCTAAAATCTCATTTACCTATTGCTGGACATTGACTGGCATCTCCATCATTTAAGCTTTGAATCACAGTGCTGTGGAAAAAACAAGTCAGAAAATACTAGCGTTAGTAATAGTGTAACGTTACATTACTAGAAGACATTTTGAATATAGAAATTTCTATATTCAAACAGGCGATAACCTCATGTTACATCCATGATGATGCAGCTAATGCACACCAAAAGGGTTTATGTCAAAAGTAATTTCATCAAAATAAGCGTTTTTAAAAATGTCATTATCGTAATATGCATAAATATACCACAAAGCAAAATTTTCATTCCTTTATTAAGTAATGCTGGGCAAAAATTAATCATGATAAACACCATACAAAATAAAAGTTTGTTTTGCATATATAACAAAAGTTTTATTTATATATATATATATATATATATATTAAGGGTGTCACAATCCTCCAAATCCTCGATTCGATTACATTTTCGATTCTAAAGTCACGATTCGATTCGATTTTTGATTATGAATAATTAATTAATTAATGACCATTTAATTATTTGTAGCCTACCGTTTAAACTACCTGACCTGCATGGTCTTTGTTTTACCCATAAACAATTCATACAGTAAATGAAAAGGCAAGATACACACATAATTACCACCTGTCAATCACTTTTTCTGCGGGACTCGTGAATAGGCAGTGATCTGTGTCGTTGTAATGGCGTTGGTAAAAAAGACGCAAAACCAACAGGAACCAGTCAACAGTATCTGAGGTGTTCGCTAAAATGACTAAGTACAAGTGAGTGAAAGATTGAAGCAGTCCTCTGACTGCCTGGACCTGCTGTCTCGAGGGCATGGATGTGAGTGCGTCTGTGTCTGCGTGGTCACGTGATGTGCATTTTCAGAGGTAATGAGGAAGGAGGGCTGCTCAGAAATGCTACACGCCACTTTTAAAAACAAAGACAGTGTAAACAGGGCCTGAGTGTGTACTTTTCGCGAGCTGATTTGCAACGGGTGCGGGCTGAGGATCGCGATGCCGGTGTTGTCAATCGGACGAACCGTACATAATACGTACATAGCAGAGCTTGCAAAACTGTGTTTTTTTTGTCGACAACACGAACGTTGTCAACATAACTCACTGGAAATCCAAAATGCTTACACACCGGCGACTTCATTGAAAGAGGAGAGGGTTTAAGTTCTGTCGACAGGTCTCCTGCTTCTGCAGTTTAACAAGCACTTCAACAAGCCTGTTATTTTCCCGCTTGGCAAGCCAAGCTGACGTGACATGGGGGCGAGGCAGCATCGACGATTCTATTTTTTTGATTCGATAATCAAAATTGAGCATAAACATCTTTTATTTGGGATGTGATTAATCATGATTAATCTTTGCTCAGCACCATTTTTAAGCTTTTATATATATTATATTATTCAATTTCTATCTTAAATATTATTTATATTTTATAACAGAATTAATAAAAAAACTACAAGACAAATCTTTCCATAATATATACATCTTTAATATGGCAGACGTTTTACATCACAGCAAGCTACACTTTTTGCATGGGAAAGGTGCTGAAACCGGTGTCGTGAAAACGTGCTATTAGCAATCATTTGAATTGTTTTAAAACTGGTTTAATTTTCTTTAAGCAACATATCATGCTCTAGCTACACTTTAAAATAAGGTTGTATTAGTGGATGTTATTTAATGCATTTACTAACATGAAAAAATAATGAACAATACATTTATTACAGTATTTGTTCATGTTAGTTAATGACAATACAGTTGTTCGTTATTAGTTTGTTAACTTAGGGTTCATAAACTAATGTTTACAAACATGAAAAACATGTTAATAATGCATTAATCAATGTTAATCTATGATTAATAAATGCTGCACAAGTATTGTTCATATTTCATGTTAGTAAATATATTAACTAATGAAACCTGATTGTGAAGTGTGACCATGTAAATATTAAATTATGTTAATATTTTTGTCTTTTCACCTGCTTCTGGTTCTGTGGATGCTGTTAATAGTAGCACAGTGCTCAGTATCGAGGTCCCAGCCACAGTGCGGATCCCTGGCCAGAACACAGTCCAGACATGTCTGGTACCGCCCACATTCACTGATTGACAGCTGAACCACGCCCACCTCCGAACCCACATACAGCTGCTTCTGGAATGACATCACACATAATTTCACATCTCTTTAGAAAATTTAAAAACACATTGATTTTGACTTGCTTAAAAATATAACACCAAATCAGCATGTTAAAATAACAAACAGTAATGATGTGCAAAACTAAGGAAAATTAAGGTTTACATTAGGAAAAAGAAACAAAAAGAGACTTTGTAATTATAATGTTCTATCTGCATTCTGTGTAGTTGAGATGTTGTATTACATACTCTCCACAAAAATACGAGGATCACATTTTTATTTTTAATGATTTAACCTTTTATTGACTTTCTTTTTTGCAAATTCTCATTTATGGCTCCTAAACTCTGGAATAGCCTTCCTGATAATGTCCGAGGCTAAGACACTTTTTCCCAATTCAAAACTAGATTAAAAACCTCTTTTTAGTAAAGCATACACATAGCGGTATGATACATGAATGTGCTCCACGCAGGTTTCTGTATCTCATTTATATACATTATGAACAACAGCTACGCTAATTATTCTCTTTATTCTCTATTTCAACCTGGGGACACTCATCCCGAGGCCCTCAGACTACGCAGCGCCACTGACTCGATCAAAGACCAGCGACCGTATGATGCCAAGTTTTCCATAATCCTTGACCAGGCTGTATCCTGAGCAGCTGCTGTGGTGGTCATGGAGGAGTGGAGTGCATGAGACTGATTCCTGTGACGCTCCAGAGACAGACAAGTCTTCGCTAAGGTCCAGCTTCCAGCCTCCGGCACCATGACTAAGGCTCTGCACAAGACGTTTGGCCAGAGGAGAAATGGTCGTGCCCAACTGAGCCTGGTTTCTCTCAAGGTAGTTTAATTCTTCTCTTTCATCAATTGGTGAAGTTTTTTCCTCGCCGCTGTCGCCACTGGCTTGCATGGTTCCAGATCTGCAGAGCTGTGCATGGTTGGATTTGCTCTTCAGTGTTTGGTCTCTCAGTAGTCATTGTTAAATCACACTGAACTGAGCTAAACTGAACTGAACTTAAACTGTGAAAACTAAACTGACACTATTTCAATTTACTATAATCTTCTATGTGAAGCTGCTTGACACAATCTTCATTGTAAAAGCGCTACAAAAAATAAAGGTGAATTGAATTGAAAAAAAAAAAGTTCAAAAAGAGAATTACTATATAAGCAAAATGTAAAAGAAAAATAATAATGGCATATAAATGTATATGCACTCTAACTAATAAATGATGTTAATTAATAAATAAACCAAAACACATACGCACAAACAAATAGGAGGTGAGGGTCTTGCCAATATCATAGCCATTATTTCGTATGCTAACATTGTGAATCACTTAAAATTTTCTCCATTTAATAAAATACATTTGAATATTTCCCTTAACAGAGCGCCTCTGACCCCATACTCCCAGAGCACCCTCCAGAGAATGCCACAAGGGACACAGTCGAATGCTTACTCCAAGTCCACAAAACACATGTGGACTGGTTGGGCATACTCTGTCCCTGTATGAGCAGAGTAGGAGTTTGGTTTACATTGCTGACAATAAGTCAGACTTGTTTCCAGTGCATGTTGGACTCCGGCAGGGCTGCACTTTCACCAATTCTGTTCATAACTTATGGACAGAATTTTAAAGCACAGCCTTGCGCCAGAGGGGGTTCGGTCCGGGGACCACAGGATTTCATCTGTGTTATTCGCAGATGATGTTGTTCTGTTGGCTTCATCCAACATGGACCTTCAGTATGCACTGGGGCAGTTTGCTGCTGAGTGTGACATGGCTGGGATGAGAATCAGCACCTCCAAGTCCGAGGCCATGGTGCTCCACCAGAATAAGGTGGTTTGCCATCTCCAGGTTGGAGGAAAGTCCTTACCCCAGGTGGAGGAGTTCTAGTATCTTGGGGTTTTGTTCACGAATGAGGGAAGGATGGAACGTGAGATTCACCCTGGAGGGACTATGTCTCTCGGCTGACCTAGGAACGCCTCTGGATCCCCCTCAGAGGAGCTGGAGGAAGTATCTGGGGAGAGGGAAGTCTGGGGTTCTCTCCTAAGACTGCTACCCCAGAAACTCGACCCCAGAAAAGTGGTTAAAAATGAATGAATGAATTTTAATAATTCCATGTAAACTGTGGAAGAGTTTTTCCAAAGTGTACACCATTTTAAAAAATAAGTTGTTACGGAATAATAAAATGTGAAAACTTAATTTGAAATATTGTCAGCATAGACAGAACAACTTAGTAAATTAATTTATAGTATTTTTAATCAAATAAAATAAATGAGCCTAAGAGATCTTATGAACCTGGATATAAATTAATATGAAAATAATTCCTAAATGTTAGGTAAGCTCTGATGTAGCACAATGTGTTAACAATTGAGTCACAGTTGACTCAGCTTTCTGAAAGAAACAGTACAAACTTGCACAACACAAAATCTCACGATGCCGCCAAGTGAGCAATAAACACATCTGTTAACACATCTATTTATTACCTTGCTGCTTGAAAGACGCAGTATCTTGATGGGCTCCGAGGGCTCAAATAGCTGAATCTCTTCCATAATGACCATCTCTCCATTATAATTCACAGCTTTCAGGACTGATCCACTCTCTGACACGAAACAAAATGCAGAACACAAGAAAACAAGTTTACTTTAAATGTGTTGAGGCATTTTAGATTATCCATGTTAAAGGTATAGTTCACCCACAAATGAAAATTTACTCAATATTTAACACAAAATAAGATACTTTGGAAACTGGCAGCCATTGACTTCCATGATAGAATAGTGTTTTGTTGTTAGGTAGGTTACGGAGTAGTTGCCACCCCTGTCATTTTGTTTTGGTGTAGTTTAGTTTAAGCGTCTGATCCACTGAAGATTACAGGTTTGTTTTGACATCTTTCTTTGGTTCGTTAGTTTAGTGGGTTGGGGTTTAGTTTGAATGTTTTGTTTTATTTATTTCTTTTCTTTGGCAACACTCCTGTTTTTCGTTTGATTGGGTTATTAATTAATTCTAAACTTCTATATTCATTGTTTTATATCATCGTTTAATAAATTGCTATTTTTGTTTTACATATCCGTTGGTTGTGGTTTCTCTTATATTCACATAGCACCAGCAGAGCTCACTTTATATTATGTCTTATCTCTTTAATAACCTAAACACATAACAGTAGGGGGAAAAACATGCTATAGAAGTCAATGGCTACTTTTCCCAAAATACTTCAAAATATCTTCCGAAGAAAGAAACTCACACAAGTTTGAAACAAGTGAAGGGAAAGTAAATGATTTGTGTAAATAATCCCTTTAAAAGGGTCAATTAAAATTCCAATGTTTCCTTAAAAAAGTAGATGTTTACTAGGGCTGCATGATACTGGGAAAATATGTGATCATGTTTCTCATGATATAATTAACTTTTAAAAGCGCTATTTTATCAGCACTAATAAGTTTGACTATTTACCCACCATGTGATTCCAAACGATTACGAGCTTTTTTCTTCTGTTGAATACAAAATATAATACTTTGAAGAAAGCTGAAAATCTATAACCATTGACTTTCATCCTATTTCTTTTTCCTTCTATGGAAGTCAATAGTTACTGGTTTTCAACATTTTTAGAAATATCTTCTTTTGAGTTCAACAGAAGAAAGCAACTCATAAAGGTTTGAAATAGGTAAATGGTGAGTACATGATGACAGAATGTTCAGTTTTGAGTGAACTATCCTTTTAAAACTGTACTAATGACAGAAAACCTCTGGAGAAATTCTGATATTGGCTGATATTGTCCTCTCTCGTCTCCCTGCATTAGTGTTTATTGTCAGCTCTAGGTTCACCAAATGGAGAAGTGAGGATACACAAATGGGACATAAAATTCATTTAATGTTTTTGCACTACTCTTTGATACAGATATTGCATATAGTATTATCACAACAATCTTTGACATGCAGAACACAACACAGAACACAAGAAAACAAGTTCATGTTGAATGTGTCGATGCATTTTGTGTGATTGGTCTTAAAGGGATAGCTCACCCAAAACTTAAAATTTACTAATCATTTACTCTCAAGTAGTTCCAAACTACTTTTGAACACAAAAGAAGATAATTTAAAAAATGTTGGAAACTGCCAGCTATTTACTTACATAGTAAGGAAAAACATGCTATGGAAGTCAATGGCTACTTTTTCCAACATACTTAAAATCAAACAGGTCTGGAGCAAATGAAGGGAGAGTCAATGATGACAGAATTTATATTTGTGTGTGAATTATCCCTTTAAAAAGGTCCAGTTAAATTTCAATGTTCAGTTTTACTAGGGCTGCATGATACTGGGTAACTATGCGATATTGTTGATAAGTGTTGCGATAACCAAATGTCTTACAATATAACAAATCCTTAGATTTATTTTATCAGCAATAATAAATTTGACTATTTACTCACCAAGTTCCAAACCTTTATGAGTTTTTTTTTTCCTCTATTGAATATAAAAGAACATATTTAATTGACTTCCATAGTAGGAATAAAAAATACTATGGAAGTCAATGGTTACAGGTTTTCGACATTTTTAGAATTATCATTTTTTAAGTTCAACAGAAGAAAGAAACTCATAAAGGTTTGAAACAGGTAAAGGGTGAGCACATTATGACAATGTTCAGCTTTGAGTGAACTTTCCCTTTAAAACTCCACTAATGACAGATACCCTCTAGAGAAATTCTGATATTTATTGGCCGTTGTCATTTTCCTCGCTTGTTTCCCAGCATTAGTATTTATTTTCTGCTCAAGATTCAAGAGGTGGGGATAAACAAATGCTTGGGACACACAATTAATTAAATTTATTGCACTTCTCTGCGATATATATTTAAAAAACAATCACAATAATAGCATATGCAATCTGCATATGCTATTATCGTGATATTTTTTTTAATATATTGTGCAGACCTCATTTTTTACTGTTATGTTTGTTTGTTCCCCCCCTCAAAATATAACTTGAATCAAAATGATTCGCCTTCCTCTGAATTTAGTTTTCTTTTTCAAATATTTCCCAAATGATGTTTAACAAAGCAAAGAATTTTTCACAGTATTTCTTGTAATATTTTTTCTTCTGAAGAAACTCTTATTAGTCTTTTTTTTTTTTTTTTTTTGCTAAAAGGTCAATATTATTACCCCCTTAAGCAATATTATTACTCAATTGTTTACAGGACAAGCCATCATTATACAATGACTTGCCATATTACCCTATCTTGCCTAATTAACCCATATGTGATGAGCTAGTGTTGTTTCCATACTGATAAACTTCCGGTGACCTTTTATTGTGAGGTTTTTTTTTTCACTTTATACGGTTGTTTGATTTGATTTGATTCGATTCCTTTTACAGCATCGATGTTGTAATGTAATTACAATATAATAAGTTTAATAGACTTTGGCATTCATTTAGTTGCTCAAGCGTCAAACATCACAAACAGCTGTTTACTTGCACGTGCCTGTCAGAATCGGCGGGCTAGCGCAGAAGCTTAATTGAATATACAGGGGTAAAATAAATGCTCATATTTTGAAGACATCGTGGGGAAAAATGTAATTTAATGCAGTGCTTCTTGCTCAATCTGAGGCAAACTTTATTTCAGATATCACTCAGCCAGTGGAGATCGCTGATTTTTAAAGAAAATAGACCTTAAACATGCCGATTTTGCAATGGCATACACTTCACCGGAAGCGGTTAACCCAGGTTACTGGCAAATTAAAAGTCCTATTAGCATGCTTCGGCATATTCCCTATTAACCTAGTTTGAGCTTTAAATTGCACTTTAAGTTGAATACTAGTATCTTGAAAATATCTATTAAATATTATGTACTGTCATCATGACAAAAATAAAATAAATCAGTTATTAGAAATGTGTTATTAAAACTATTATGTTTAGAAATGTGTTGAAAAAAATCTTCTTTCCGTTAAACAGAAATGGAGGAAAACATCTACAACTGTACATCCTCTTTAAAATACTGTCAATTTACTGATTATAAAACCACATAATTGCATCAAAGAGTGTTTACTTGTGCCGATGAACATGACTTGATGGCTGGTCCCATTCAAGGCGGTCGCGGTGGTCACTACTATTCTAGTGAACGCAGCTCCTCTCTTCACCAGCAGGGGTTGCTCTGCAGTGACGGCCTGGTCCATCAGAGGCTTGTCTTTGACAAACTGTAACGTTTTGTCTGGAAGCTCCAGAGATTTGGTGATGCCCTTTTCTCTGGCATGATTGTCAATGCACTTTTGTGAAAAACACAGTCAGAGTTAGTTAAGTTAATCAGTTTTACTAAATGAGTATACCAGTAAACTAACTGTAGACACACCGCTCCGGGTCGGGGATCAGGAAGCTCGCCTGAGTACATCACCCACTTCACAAATGACGTCTCCACATTAAACGGAGCCTTAAATTTGCCCTTCGAGAACACGGTCTTGATGTCTTCAATTTTGTATGAACATACAGCAGAATACTGAGAGGAGTCTCTGTCGAGGAGAAACATTTCAGATTAAATTTTTCAACATTAACCATGTTGCGGACATTTATCATTTACATTTAGCAGACGTTTTTTATTCAAAGCAACAAATAAGCAAGCTAGCAATTTGTTTTACACAATCCAAACTTACGCTGAAAGTTTGGAAAATGGTAATTTTCAAGTCCATGAATTTAAAATAAAGATTTTTAGATGTTAGTATCAGTATTGTTCATTTTTGGGATATCTATAAGCTAGTGCACACAGAAAAAGGCAAAAAAAGAAAAGAAAAAAAAAAGCTTTTAGAAGATATTAAACCGATATAAACATGTAAAGCTTGTAGTTTGTCACTTCTGCCTATGAAACAACGGTTTTACTCCTCAACAGTTTCTCATCCAGTCGTGACCAATCAAATGCTCTCTAGAATCTGATATGCCCCGCCCCCTTCAAGACACTTTTCTCGCTGGCAGAGTGGTGATAAAACAACCTTTTTTTATATAAAAATATAATTTTTTATAAAAATGATAAAGTAAACAAGACTTTTAAAGCTAGCATAATGGATTTAAATATATTTTTTTATTTATTACAGTTATAGCTGCTCTGTACTGCATTAGCGCTATGTAAACAAAGGGCACTTGACAAAACAATTACATTCACTGGGATGAGGTAGAGGTGTGCAAAGTACAGTAGAGATCAAAATTAGAGAATATAATATGAACACTTAAAGGGATAGTTCACCCAAAAATGAAGATGCTGTCATCATTTACTCACTTCACTTGTTAAAAACTTGGTTGAGTTTCTGTTTTTTGTTGAACACACACACACAAAAAAAAAAAAACATTTTAAAGAAAGCTGGAAATCTGTAATTATAGTATTTGTTTTTCCTACTATGAAAGTCAATAGTTATATATATATATATATATATATATATATATATATATATATATATATATATATATATATATATATATATATATATATCTTATGTAGTGTTCAACAGAAGAAAGAAACTCATAAATGTGTATAACCACTTAAGGGTGAGTAAATTGCGAGTAAATTTTTGAGTGAACTACCACTTTAATTTTAATGTCTTTATCCTTAATATTTATATTAAATATATAAAGGTTTAATTGAATTGAAGTTATAGTCACTTTAGTGCTGTGTGTGTGTGTTTGTGTGGTGTGTGTGTGTGTGTGTGTGTGTGTGTGTGTGTGTGTGTGTGTGTTAGCGCAGGCTTTTGAAGGGGTATAGAGAACCCTGCCTGTTATTGCAATATACAGGAGTTGGAGAGAATTTTAGAATTTTAACCATTGTGATTATTTGACAACACTCTGACTACAGTACATTGCAAAGCCAGTTATAACTGGAATGTATGGCTGCCATTTAATAGATTTTAATAGGTATATGAAAGCATTCCTAAAATTTGATTATATTAGATTTTTTGATAGAGAATTAGTGTTCATTTTCAAGTTTTTAAACTGTCCATCAGAATTAATGCAACTCATGAAGCATGTTTAAAACTGCTCATTTGACCCCTTCAAACAGAGCTATGCAGATCTATGTTCTCTAGTTTTGATTTCCACTATAATAAAACTCTGAATTAATGAAAAGTCCTGCCCAGAGTCCTGATCTAAACCTATAGCTAATAATAATCTATAACTAATAATAATTCTTGAGGTTTGTTGAATTAAAAGATTTTCAAGGGTGCTGTTTGTGGTTGTTATGAATTCAAGATATGATCAAATATGCTTTGTTTTCACAATCAACAGCTCAAACTTACGATTGTGGGGTAAAGACAGCATAAAAAACACAGGTGGTCCAGTCATCTGGACACAAGTGGAAAACATCCTGCACCAGAAGAGGGAGATTGGTGTTTGGAACTTGACAGTCGAACCTAGCTTTTAGAAATGACGTCCACTTCTTTTGTAGCGTTCTCTGCCCACCCAAGTCACCCTGGGAGGATAAAATGATTTTGAATAGATGTTATACGTGGTCGACAGGAAATCCTGTAACATTTCTTCAAATAGATGCATAACCTCAAGGGAGTTTACCTTGCACACACGAGCCACTCGAGACACGTCCACCTTTGTGTATGACTCATATTCCACTGCCGTCTCACTGAAGAACAGATAGATCTTGTCATCATCCCCATCTGGATTAGATTGGCCCTCTGGTATGTGGGCCATGTGGATAAAATTTGGTTCTAAAATGACAAAACTATTTTAGTTTTTTGCATCACTCTAATATAAGAGTAAACATGTTTTCACCCGCAGAACTACAGATTTGTGTGTGTGTGTGTGTGTGTGTGCAAAATTTCTGTAAACGACTGCAATCAACAGATACTCAAACTACCCTGCCTGGCACCAATAATCATTTTATAGGGACATTAACCTTTTTTTATGAAAAAAACTCTTTTTTTGTTATGGAAAATGGCAAAATATATTATGTATGACTTATTCATGCACACTATTAAATTAGTCACACTTTACAATAAGGATTCATTAGTAAAAAGGGGGCCTATTACACCCCATTTTACAAGATGTAAAATAAGTCTTCTAATGTCCCTAGAGCAAGGGTGTCCACACTCAGTCCTGGAGGGCCAGTGTCCTAGAGAACTTAGCTCCAACCCTAATCAAACACACCTAAACAAGCTAATCAAGCTCTTACTGGGTATATTAGAAACTTCCAGGCAGGTGTGTTGAAGCATGTTGGAGCTAAAGTCAGCAGGACCCCAGGACCCTCCTTACAGACTTTGGATACCCCTGCCCTAGAGTGTGTTTGTGTGAATGTTTTCTAACTATTTGAAACTGCCTCTTTCAGGCTTTGATCCTATTTGTGCCATTTTGGTGACTGTTGCTTTAAATTCAAATGAGATTGCGCTGTTTTCAAAAAAGGGCGTGGCTATAAATGCCTGCGTGTCAGCATAGTGGCAGATTCAAAAACCAGACTAACGTCCTGTGCTAATTAGGGAGAGATTGTCACTAATGGGCGGATGACACAAAGGAAGAATGTCAAAGTGTTTTTGCAGACTGTTTTAATTAAGTGTGATTATAAAAAAAAATCAATTAATAGATTTTTTGTCATTAGAAGCTGGTTATATTAACAGACTGTTCCCACACAACTTTGTTTAAGCCCCGTATAAAAGTGTTTTTTTGCATAATAGGTCCCCTTTAATGTTAGTTAATGTATTACTATTATGAACGATACTTGAACAGCATTTATTAATCATAGTTCAACATTATAACATGCATTAATAAAATCGAGAGTTATGCTTATTAACATTGGTTAACATGAAATTCCATTAATGTTAACAAAGGTGAATAAATACTGTGATAAATGTATTGTTCATTGTTTGTTTTTGATAGTAAAAGCGTTATTGTTAACTTTTATCAAAGTAAATGTGTCATTGTGAACTTTAATCAAATGAACATCCCCTTTATTTATACCATCTCATGTTTTCTCTGATTGTTTACTGGTGCAAGGGCGTGATCAATCTTTTCCTCATATGAGATCCACCAAAAACAGACCACAATCCATTCACAACAGACAAAAATCAAGACTAAATTTCACATTTTTCAAGAGGCTGTTTCATTTGGTTATACATCTTCATTGTGGTGAAACAAATAACAAAAGAACAATGATTCTTGAATGTCTACATAAAGGACTACCAAACTGCTTCACCATGTCAGAAAGCATTTACAGACTGTGTTGTTATCACATAATTACCTATTTAGAAGTGTGACTTGGTATCACAAAACCAGTCCATTTTTGAAAATTGAGATTAATTCATCATCTGAAACCTGAATAACTAAGCTTTCAGTGAATGTTGGGTTTGTTAGGATATGGCAATATCTATTAAAGGTCTGAGAAAACAAAATATCTAAATACTAAGAAAATCACCTTTAAAGTTGTCCATATTCCATTCTTAGCTATGCATATTACTGATCATAAGTTACATTTGGATATATTTATGCAAAATAATTGACTACATGTCTTCAAGGAACATGATATGTACATAATTTTAAAATCATTTTTGTAATACAATAAAAATCAATCATTTGGACATTTTGGCTATTCCCACAAATGTATGCAACGTAATATTTTGTGATCCAGGGTCACATATTTGAACAAACAAGAATTTTGACAAAAGTAAAAACATAAATTTTTCCTGAAACTGACAATAATTTGAATACTAACAAATAGATGATTATTAAAGATCCCGGGAGATGCCTTGAAATGTGTAATTATTTATTCAATGTTTTTTTTTTTTTCTGGAGTTTTATCTGGCGAGTTTTATAAGGAGCATTTTCTGCCACCTACTGAATTTCAGTATGGGGTGCAACTTGGTTCGAAATCTTAAGAGATTAATAAGGGAATACTACATTGGTTTACCATTAAAAAGTGGGGAAAAATTACAAATAAAATTAAATAAATGGAGGAAAAAAAACTATTATATCCAATCCATTAAATCTGTCAATCAAATGTCTAAAACATTCGTTATTTACCTTTTTATCTTTGCCATCTAAAATAGCTTTTAGGGAGAAATTGACTGTATTTAGCTCTCTTAATTTTTCAAAAATGATTTGCCTTGATTACTTATTTTTGTACGTTCAATTAATACATGAGATACCGTTTTGAGGGAGACCACATTTTTCACAGTTATCGTTTTCGTTAACATGAAAAAGAGGGTGGGATATAGAGTAGCCCCTCCCCATTTAAAAAAACAGCCAATAGCATTTTGTTTTTATCACAGCTGTGCCAGTGAGAGTGATTGAGCTCAAGCGCAACAAATGTAAAGCAAACAAAAAGCATCTAAAAGTGGGCGGGGCATGTCAGATACTAAAAAGCATTTGATTGGTCAGAAGGTTTGATGAGAAACTGAAGTATGAGGTGACGTGAAAAAAAAACGTTGATCCATTTTGGGTGGAAAAGACAAACTGCAAGCTTTGGATGTTTTTATTAGGCTTATTTCTTCTAAACCCGAATTGTGTCACTGTTTTGTTGCACACTAGAATATACTATAGATATCCTTAAACTAACATACTGATATTGACTAAAAAAACTTTAATTTCATGGGACCTTTAACAGTTTATCAGTAGCCTTTGTTCTAAAAATCTGATAAGCTGTGCATTCAGTTTGCAAGTATGTTGTGGTTATGTACAAGGGTATCGTACTGAGTGTGCTCTTGCATTTTTTCACATTGTGTTTGGTGGTTAGTTTAGACATGAACACTTTCTCACCACTGAGCCAGGTGCTTGTAAACTCAGTTCGAATGCTTTCCTCTGTGCTGCGCATCATCACCGGCTCTGAACCCCGAAAGTTCATTGAAGTAGCAGAGTAATACGCTCCATCTGAGAGAGAAAACCGAGGCAGAGATTACTATATGTGTAAAAATACTTGCAATAAATGAAACTGTGAGTGTTGCAGATATGAATACAAATTATCTAGTCAATAAACAACTAAGCAGTACGTACCGACCATTGCAGATGTATATCGCTGAAAAGGGTCGAACGGACATTTCCCTTTCGTATCTTCTTGGAGGATCTCTAAAGTCAGCTTACCATCCGCATAGGACTATGAGAATAACATGCAACAACCAAATAAACGATGCACATTCTACATTTGTGGTCACTAACAAACACTGAATTAAATGGATGACACTTACCAAATAGCCACAGGTGGGGTTGAACGCTTTGGTTCCACAGACATACATTCTGCCGTCGTCCTTTTTATGAAGAATTCGAATATAGTTTTTGCAGTCATTCTAAAGAAGAAGACAAAAACAACACGGGGAATAACTCAAAGATCTTTTCTGACCACAATGTCTGACCAAGCTACAACACACACTTCCTTTTATCTGCTGTAAATAAACATACAAAAGCCACTTCCTCAGACGGTGCTTTTGTAAGTCTTAAACATCTTCATATTTGTATAATATGTTACATCACTAATTACCAAAGTAGTAGTAAAAATGTATTAATGCTAATAAGTGATTATAATACTGCAACTTACAGTGTAAATAACAGATTAATTTACAAGTTGCTTCCTAAATGGCACGCTACACACTATGCCTGCACTGCATAGTATAGTTCCAACCCTGCTCCAACACACTTATCTAAGTTTCAAACGAGCCTGAAAGACTCATTTAGTTTGATCAGGTGTGTTTAATCAGGGTTGGAACTAAACTGTGCAGAGCTATGGCTCTCCAGGAATGTTGGTGCCATGGTGGCGCAGTGGGTAGCACGATCGCCTCACAGCAAGAAGGTCCCTGTTCGATCCCCGGCTGGGACAGTTGGCATTTCTATGTGGAGTTTGCATGTTCTCCTCGTGTTCGCGCGGGATTCCTCCAGGTGCTCCGGATTCCCCTCAGTCGAAAGACATGTACTATAGGTGAATAAGCTAAATTGGCCATAGTTTATGTGTGTGAATGCAGGAGTGGGTTGCGGCTGGAAGGGCAAGTTGGCGGTTCATTATGATGACCTCTGATTAATAAAGAAACTAAACCGAAAAGAAAATGAAAGAATGAATAAGTTTAGTGTCCCAAATAGAACACAAACATTTTTTTTACTAAACAGTAATTCAAAGCATTTCCCAGACAACGTTTAACAGTTGACAAATTAGCACTGTTGCTGACCATGTCGATCCCTTTATGACAACAAATATCCCCATCTTCTGATGGCTACTTCCAGCAGGATAACACACCATGTCAAAAAGCGTGAATCATCTCAGACTGGTTTCTTGAACATGACGATGAGTTCACTGTACTCAAATGGCCTCCACAGTCACCAGATCTCAATCCAACAGAGCACCTTTGGGATGTGATGAAACGGGAGATTCACATCATAGATGTGCAGCCGATAAATCTGCAGCAACTGCGTGATGCTATCATGTCAATATGAACCAAAATCTCTGAGGAATATTTCCAGTACCTTGTTGGATCTATGCCACGAAGGATTAAGGCAGTTCTGGAGGCAAAAGGGGTCCAACATGGTACTAGTAAGGTGTACCTAATAAGGTGGTTGATCAGTGTATATCACATGTAGCCTACGCTACAATTATAAAAAAGCAAGAACTCATAAAATAAAAGTGGAAATCTTATACAAATGAATAATTTAGAATTTTTGGCCTGAACCCCTGATAGAGCCATTGAAATGAATCATAAATAAACAGGAGCAGACACAATTCAATATTTGAGCTCCTCTATGTAAAATAAAGATAAATAAGAGTTTAAAGTGATTCATTACGGATTCAAAATTGACAGTTAGAGGCTTTTAGCAAAGTCCCTGAAATGCAAGTCAGTTCACTCGGTGGTCAACTTTGAAATGCCTCTCAGGAAATATGCTCGGGCATTCTGTTAGAATGAGGAAACATCAAAATCACCAAAATTGCTTGCCAAGCGTACGATTAAATTTCATGTTAGGATTCACCAATAAAATTAAACTACAACTGTTTCTTTAGTTTCATTTCTAAATGTTCGAATCGCACAAAATCTGCAGAAACTGCAGAAACAGAAATCTGTTCGAGCCCTTCCCTCGAAAAATCCGTCTTTTGAATGAGACATTAAACCAAGGTCCTGACTCTCTGTGGTCATTAAAAATCCCATGGCACTTCTCGTAAAAGTGTAGGGGTGTAACCACACACAATAAATGCTATAGAAATACACATTAAATTACAAGAATCGTAATTTGTATTGGCAAATTTATATTATATATAAATTGGCAAGTTTTATGTATTGACAAGTTTATATTGGCTCCTGTACTAGAAGGAGGGGCTTCATTTGCCATATTGACCGTTACACTTTTTCCCATTTTAAATTATACGAGTGACACGTCTTGTGTATTTGATAGTCTGTGCTGTTAGCCACAGCTGGCCCATTTTTAGTAAAAAAAAAAAAAAAAAAAAAATGTGTATATATATATATATATATATATATATATATATATATATATATATATATATGTGTGTGTGTGTGTGTGTGTGTGTGTGTGTGTGTGTGTGTGTGTGTGTGTATATATATATACATACAGGCTGCACTTTCTGCTGCCTTGGTTTCCTTCTTCGAGCATGTCACAAAAATTCCCCACAGTTATTTCTGTTAATATGTTTAAAGTAAAACGCATTTCATCTTAGCCTGTTTTTGTGTGCATGTAAAACATCAATTACATTAATTATAGTAGGTCAAATACTTTGTAAATGATTATTATAATGATTTAAACTGATTCTAATTTAACATGGTGACCTTGCTGGTTGATTTGCAAGCAAATGCAGGTTATATATCAGCAAAAATAACTGAAATGAACATCCCCAATGTTCATAGTTTAGTCATACTTGTATTTTTTTAATTCTGCATTGTTCATGTTTACTTGTTCATCTACAGAGGTTGTATTATAGATTTTTTAAAATTTGTTGAAAACAATTAAATGAAAAAGCATTCCTTCAGGATGTGAAATATAGATGTGAAGACTCACCGTAGCATCTTTCCCCTTATTTGAACAGTCGTTTTGCTGGTCACGTGTTACTTCCCATTTCAACTGAAAAGAAACAACACAGTTTAGTAAAAAAAAAAACACCTTGACAAACTGAAGACAGCGTTAGAAACATTTGTAACTATGCATTTAAAGAGAAATTCCATTACTTACTCTTTCTTCCCTTGTCACAAACCTGCTTATGTTTCTTTCTTTGGTTAAGCACAAAAGAAGATATTTTGAAAAATGTCATAAACCTCTAACCACTGACTTCCATTTGTTATTCCTACTAAAGAAGTCAAAAGCCGCATTTCCACTATCGCACCTAAAGTGAGCGAATCAGGGCCAGTCGTGTTTCCACTGTCACTTCCGGGGCCTGATCGGGCCAAAGTGGGGCTTCCTCTGGGTCAACAGCCAGCCTTTTTCAGTCCGCTGAATACCTTCACCCAAAGAGGGCCGGCTGGGGCTTTGGGGGGCGGAGTGAAAGGAGATATGGACTTTGCCTGAGTCTGGTAAAGATGGCATGCCAATATTACACTAGTTTTCCGATCGCACAGGAGCACATGTGCCAAGAAAATCAATAAATAAGGAAAAGGAAAACACATAGCTGTCAGTTTAAGACTGGCTATTCCATAAAACACCGTATAGGCTTGGGGTCCTTTTTCTTAAGATTGCCCTTGTGTTTCCATTTTAAATGTAAGGGTATAACATTAAACAAAGTAATTTTAATTTATAAGTGATATTTCTTTGATGCGTCATTAGTGTTTAATAACACATCATAATCTTTACACCATATTAATCTTTACATAGAGCAAAAGAGCTTTCGCTTGACAGCTTTGTTGATGCCGCGAGCGACTGGGTTTCTTTCTTTCTTTATTTTTGAGATAATACAAAATATGAATACAACAGAAAGACATAAAACTTTACAAATTACGTGTCCACTTTTGTAGGCTCAACACAATAGTGTCATATCTAGAGAAAATAGCATAAGCTATATTAAAATCGTTTAAAGAAATACAAATATCAGATATAATAAAGTCATATACAAGATAATGGTTACAGCTTTTCAGCTTTCCTCAAAATATCTTCTTTCATGTTTAACAGAAGAAAGAAACTCTAAATAAAGGTTTGAAACCATTTAAGGGTGATTTCATGTGAACACTCATCTGAACTATTCCTTTAAGACCTCACCATGGCCTTCTTGATTGTAATGTCATCGAGGTCAAGTGCAAAAATGGCTTCTCTGGCACCCAGGATGAGCAGGTTGAGATCATCCCTCAGAAGCATGGTGGTGTAGTTCCAAATTCCCTCTTCACGAAACAAACGTCCTCCATTACCTAGCAACACACGTCAAAGGCAGAAGTAACTCACGTTTGCCAAAAATGGAAATGGACACAGAGGATGGTTTGAAGAAAGGCATGCAGTGCTGTGTCTCTTATTTGGCCTTTGACTTACTCAGTGGGGGTTCAAACAACACTAATACTCTTTAATTTAACAGCACCACCACTATTGGATGGTAATATAATTTGAATTGGACTGAGTCGAATGGTAACACTACATTTAAAGGTAGTTTTTTGAGAATTTAACAGATTTGTGTGTGTTGAGCATCAGTTAAGAGAATGTTAGTACCTGTCAGCTTTAATTGTGGGGAAAGCTGAATAATTTACAGGTTTTGTCAGATAATTTCACCTTCCAGGTTTAAAATCTTTTTTGGGACGGGATCAAAATCTGAATGAATCTATGAATGAATGAATGAATGAATCTAGTGAATCTGCTAGTGAAGTGATGACGTGTTGGTTTCTCATTATTATTTATAGCTGAGTTTTCTTATCCTGTGAGAAGACCCTGCTTCTTAATTATTCATGAGAGCATGTGCTTTCCGAAGGCAAAGCAGACCTGCCAAGCTGTGAGACCCAATGATTGGGTGAGACCGCACATGACACGAGTTGTATGTGTTGGTTTCCATGATCCACGGGGTTTGTTGCATGTTTTTCCTCACGATTCTGTCAGGGCCGATACAGCAAAGCTGTTGGTTTGCAGCAAGCATTTTTGTCAGGAGAGCTGTACGAGAATGGCAGACTTTGTTTTTTATCAGCTGAGTTTGTTACCATTCAGACACATTACTTATATCCGTGCTGCTGTGTTCACCTATGTTTAAACTTCTCCAGATTACTGGCAGGGTTAATGGTTGAAATAGGGCAAGAGATCTGCTGTACTGCTATTCACTGTGTCTGCATTCAGAACTGGGGATTGAGGAGGAGAGAAGTCCTCCTCATTTATAGTGTTTATATAAACATGATTATCTTTATAATAATGTAACAAATAGTGGTTATGTGTATTGGAAATTCCGTAAAACAAATGTAGTAGGGCATTAAATTATTTACTGTTTTTTTAGTATTTCCTGCATTTTAACTGTAAACTATAAAATCATGCATCTCCTTGCGGTTTGTGCCTCATTTTGTGAGCCAACTGACAATAGTTGGTCCCTCCCCTCTTTTTCCCAACACCAAACTTGAGCTGAATGCAACTCAACTGAACTGAACTTGTAATGAACTGAACTGAACATAATGAATGAACTTTGCAACTTTGACCATTATTAGACTGAATTAAATTTTTAATCAGTTTCACAACTTTACTAAATAACTATCTTTAAAGCACTGAGACTGATATTTTGCTGTTAATTACTGTGAAGATGCTTTAAAACAAACTGTTACACAAAATGCTAAATGAATGTGTTATTTTTTAAATAACCAAATAGTAAGTAAAGTACAATAACATCATAATAATAAAAATATTAATAAGTAATTATCACAATAGGTATTACAACAATAAAAACAAGTAGAAATTTTTGTACTCTAACATAGTGGCAATGCCATATTATTCTTTATAAGACCATAGAATATATACAGGTGAAGTCAAAATAAACCATTCTGAATAATTAGCCCCCTCTATACCTTTTCTCCAATTTCTGTTTAATGGAAAGAAGATTTTTCTAATAGAATTAGAATTAATTAGAATTTCTAATGACTGACTTCTTTTATCTTTGCCATGATAAAAGTACATCATGTTTTACCAGATATTTTTACAAGATACTAGTATTCAGCTTAAAGTGCAATTTAAAGGTGTAACTAAATGAATTAGGCAAGTTAGGGTAATTGGGCAAATCATTGTATAACAGTGGTTTGTTCTGTAGGCAATAGAAAAAAATATTTATAAAATAAATGGTAAAATAATATTGAGCTTAAAATGATTTTTTTTTTTAACTTAAAACTGCTTTTATTCTAACCAAAATAAAACAAATAAGACTTTCTCCAGAAGAAAAGATATTATGAAAATACTGTAAAAAAGTCATTGCTCTGTTAAACATAATTTGGGTAATATTTGAAAAGAAATTCACAGAAGAGTGAATCATTCTGACTTTAACTGTATAAGAACATGATTTTAAGCTTAATATGCTGCTAAAAATACAGCTGAAAGCACTTTAAAATTTCAGCACCTTTGAATAAGAAAATGGAAATAAAATATTAATTTACTACTATTTATGTATCTAATGAATGTAATTTTTTTAAGTACCCAAGTGCATTTATAAATATTAGCCAATGATAGTGACAAACAGCACTGGCACTTTTTTCTAATAATAATCAAATGTGATTTTCAAAAAGTCAACTTACTTCCAATTGGCACTGTTTTCCGAGGTAGGCTATCCAGTGTTGATCCCAGCCCACCGGTCAGCATTGCTGGACTCCAGACATACAAAACACACAGAACAGCCAGCAGAGACATCATTCAGTGCTCTTGTTATAAAAAAAAAATCAGTCCGTGATTTCGGTCTGCGATTGCAAAATTCCTCTGTGGTCTTTCTGTCAAAGCTTTCTCATCCTTGTCTTCTGCCCTGCTTCAGTTCGGAGATCCTCCATACTGAGATATATGACTTTAGCTGCAAAGAATGCCCTTCAAAGAAGCAGCAAAGAGCGCTGTGAGGCCATCTGAATGAGAGAGAAAGAGAGAGAGTACAGGCAGGGGTGCTGGCAGAAGTATTTCTGTCACTTCTATAGTGATGCTAATGCAGAGGATGAAAGCTTTTGCTCTGGGACCTTGACAGAGACACACGATTCTGCTTTTTCAAGCCTCAGAATGACACAAAGCTAGAACAGCTTAAAAAAAAAGAAAGAAAAAAAAACTCACCACATCCTGAAATACACCTAGCAATAGCATTAACCAAAACTGCTTTCGCAAGTGACATGCTCACGAATGCTTCGAAAAGTTAGAAAGTCTTTGAAAAGTAATGATTTTTTGCCCTTTTAAAAGTTAAAAAAAAGTTTTTAACATTATACTGATACAAAAACTCCCAAGACATGGTCATTTTTAAAAAGCCATTGTTACACAACAGACATTGAGGAAACAGGAAAAACAATGTACCAGAACCATTTTGTAACCCTTGTTTGCACACTAGTTATTACCCACACTGTCAACATTAGAATTAAATAAACATCGGAATGTATTATTATGAAGTATTCCTACTTAAATTTCACATTTGAAATCTCAGCTTGAGTTTCAGATGCGTTTCTTGTTATTTCTTTGTGAACATATAAAAATATTAGCCATGTGATGCAGCAAAAGAGTAAAACAGCCCTTTAAAGCTGAAAAATGAAATAATGAAATGTCCAGTCAAGAGTCCTGAATTAAACCTGATTGAAAATCTTGGCAGCTAAGATTTTGCCAAAAACCCACACTAATAATATTGTGAATTTTACTCAGATTTAAATTTTCATGTAAATCCTACAACTTTGTTTCTAGTGTACGTGGAACTTGCTAGTCTACAGGATTTTTCCATTTATTTAATTAACTACCAAACAAAACTGAATCTTGAAATTATTGCTTCAAAACAGTGACAAAATTCAGGTTTAGAAGGTAAAAAACTGAAATAAACATGTAAAGCTCGCAGTTTGTCACTTCTGCTGAAACGTATCAATGTTTTATTTTCACATCAGCTCATACTTCATTTTCTCATCAAATCTTGACCAGTCAAATGCTCTCTAGTATCTGACATGTCCCACATCCCTTCAAGACACTTCTCCTTTGATGAGCTTAAGCTCCACCACCCTCACTGAGCTGTGATTAAAAACTAAACACTATTAGGCGTTTTGTTTTTAAAAGGGGAGGAGATACTCTATGTCCCGCCCTATCTTTATGTTACGTCAATCATCTAATAAATAAAATGCTAAATTGAGGCCCCGTTTACACTAGTGCGTTTTAGTTTGAAAACGCATAAGTTTTGTTACGGTTACGCCAACCGTCCACACTACGCCGGAGTTCTCGAGCGCCGAAAACGGAGCTTTTTGAAAACGCTGGAGAGGCCGTTTTCATTCTAAAACGCTGCTGCTCCGTCTCAGTGTGGATGGGGAAAGACAGAGACATCTGAAAACGGAGGCGGGGCTGCAAACGTTCGCCTATCTGATTGGGGCTTTTCCTCAATATTAAGTAGCCCACACACAGTTCAGTCTCGCATCCTCTTCTTGTAAGTTAAGACTTCGCAAGTTTGATCAAGGCTGCAGTCTGCCCCTTCTCAGTTTGATATGGAAAACATACCGAGGACACGGGTAAATCTTCAAAGGGAACAGTGTACTTTATAACTTCATTCACATCACCTTGGCTACGTTGTTTCACTTTCTCAACAATAAAATGTAAACATGATTTAAGGAACTGCCTATTTTCTTTTTAATATTACCAACTTAACAGACAGCAGAAATGTTGAGGCGCCGTGCTGCATGAGCGTCATCTTCACTGTGTGGATATTTATAACAAAACGGAGCCGATAACAACTGCCTTCTTTCAATTTCAGTGAAAATACGAAACGCACCCTCTCTTTTGCTGAATATCAGTTTTAATAATCGATAATTATAAAAGTATAACATACAATAAGTTTATACATTGTATGAAATAAAGACGAGCGATCAGTCAATGTACCTGGATTAATCATTAACTTATCTTTGCGCTTAACCAAAACATGTTACCCGTGAACAAGTAACTTAATAGATGTCAATGACCAAAGTCAGGGAATTGGCCTATGTCGTTAGATAAAGACAACAACATGAATGAAATATCACGTTTAGCAAATATAGTGAGATTAGATCCAGCGGGAGATGCGTGATGCAGTCCGACAAGCAGAGCTCTCACCTGGATAGAAATGCTGGAGTCCTTGCCCGAGAGTGTGTGTGTGGTCACGTGATGTGCGTTTTCAGCGTTTTGGTGTGGACGGAGACCTGTTCAGAAACGCTGGGCAAAACGCGAGTGTGGACGCGTATCGTTTTCATTCTACAACGCCGTTTTAAAACTAAAACGCACTAGTGTAAACGGGGCCAGAGAGCACTTCACAGGACTTTAAAGCAGAAAACTTAAATAATGAAATGTCCAGTCAAGAGTCCTGAACTAAACCTGCTTGAAAATCTTGGCAGCAAAGTTATGGCTAAAAAAACACCAAAAACAAAGTTGTAGGATTTATTTAAAAAATGAAATTGTGAGAAAATTCACAAATAATATAAGTGTACATGTTACTCGCAAGTCTGGGATTTTTCAATCCATTGCATTGACCACCGGACAAAATTAAATCTTGAAATTATTCAAAGTTGAATTGTTGAGCTGAAAAACAAGTTCTATGCTTTAAGTTCAATACATGCACCAAACAATGCTTGTAATGAGAGAAGTTAAAAGGTCCTGTGAAATAAAAATAAAGTTTTTAGATGTTAGTATCAGTATGGTAGTCTTGTCTTGATGTCCATAATCTAGTGTGCTCCAAAACAGTGACAAATTCGGGTGTAAAAGATATAAAACTGAAATAAACATGTAAAGCTGACAGTTTGTCATTTACTTCTAAATGGATCCATTTTGTCACGTCATGTCAAACAAATGTCTGGCCCCCTTTAAAACATCTCTCCTCTGCTTTTTTAATTGATGCGCTTAAGCTCAACCACTCTCACTGGCAGAGCTGTGATTAAAAACTAAACACCATTGGCTGTTTTTTTTTTAAAGGGGAGGAGCTACTCTATGTCCCACCCCTATCTTTATGTTTGATGTTTGATTTATGTGAGATTACGTCAAGCATCTAATAAACAAAATGCTAATTTCAGAGCACTTCACAGGACCTTAAAGCAGAAAACTTAAATAACGAAATGTCCAGTCAAGAGTCCTGAACTAAACCTGATTGAAAATCTTGGCAGCAAAGTAAAAAAGAAGTTCAAAAATATTAAAATCAAAGTTGCAGGATTTATTTTAAAATAAAATTGTGAGTAAAATTCACAAATAATACTAGTGTACATGTTACTCGCAAGTCTATGGGATTTTCCATCCATTGCATTAACCACCAAACAAAATGTAATCTTGAAATTATTCAAAGTAGCACTTCACAGGACTTTAAAATAAAAAACTTAACAACTTAAAAAGAAAAAAAACTTAAAATAAAATGTCCAGTCAAGAGTCCTGAACTAAACCTGATTAAAAATCTTGGCAGCAAAGTTGCTGCAATTTTTTAAAACTCTAATATTGTTAATTTTACTCACGTTTTCATTTACAAACGAATCCTACAAATTTGTTTCTAGTGTACATGTGACTTTTCCATCCATTGCATTAACCACCAGACAAAATGGAATCTTGAAAGTATTCAAAGTTGAATTGTTGAGCTAAAAAAACATGTTCTATGCGTTCTATGCATGACAATTAGCCCAGGTCAGCCAAAACCACATCAGTTCCTTTGTCAGCAATTGCATGCAACACACCAGCATACACATGCACCAATCCATACACAGCATATAGAAGCAAAAACACTAAACGTGTGTCCGATTGCATCAGCAGCTGTTTACTACATCTCTAACAGTGAGCACGATTATGGTGTGCAATAGTAGATGAGCTGTAGCATGTGAAAAATGTAGATCAGATCAGACACTGCTCATATTTCACTATGACATGCACATGCATGCTTGCTTTTGGATTTTTGTGGACACTTCCTAACCTACTTACTAGTTCCTAATTTAGGTTAATCATAATACCATACCAAAGCTACACTATAAATACATGACACACTCTGTATTCTTTAGGTATAACATTATCTAATGCCTTAAGTAAATGTTTTTGTAAATAATGCACTTATTTTGGACAGAGTTTTCTTACTGCATTATTTATAATGTAGTTTTTCCTGCATGATTTCCACTTTTAAGCATGATTGTATTGATTGTATTGAAGATTAATTCATTTAATGTAAACAGACGGGTTTAACAAAAGCATATTTAATCACCAAAAAATCTCAGAGCTCACAACAGATGATGTCATGACGAGTCGAACGTGTCAAGCATGCCATTTTGATAACGCTGAAAAGGCTTAAAGTTTATTCTGCATATTAAATTAGGACTAAAATAATTGGGTAATTATTTTACACACTTTAAAACGGGGTATATGCACACAAAATTTAAATTTCAGCCAGCCAGCTTTAGTGCTTCCACTGAACTGTCTTTCCATTATAAAATTGCCATGTTGAAGGTCTGATTTCATTAAAAATAAGTGATCTTCACTGCCTGATAGATATATAATGTAAAGTAGGTCTTAGACTGGACAAGATGCACTGCATTAAATTCCATTGTTCCTCTTCATCTCTCTTAAATATGACAGTTTGTTTTCCCCCAGTATTTTCAATGGAATTTCTGTTCTCGCCTGAAAATACTGATAGCAGTTTCACAATCTTTCATCTCGTTTTATGCTTGAACAACTAAATGCATGCTGAAGTCGACTTAACTGAATGTATTGTAATTACATTACATCATCAATACTATATAAAATCCATAAGAAATTGAAAATAGTCGCATTAAGCTTTCACCGGATGTTTAACATTGGCTGAAAAACACTAGCTGTGCACATATTGCGCAAGTTGTCAAACACCATAAAATTTATGAATCAATATATCATTTCTTTGAACATTGATGATGATACCATGCACTCCCACAAATAAAGGTACACGAGCTGTCACTGGGGTGGTACTTTTTCAAAAGGTATACATTTGTACCTAAAGGGTCCATAATGGTACCTCAAAAGTATATATTAGTACCTACAAATTTGAAGAGGAGCACTTTTGTGCTACTAATATGTACCTGTGAGTTATTAATGTGGACCTTTTACAACAAATTTGTACATTTCGAAAAGGTACCACCCAGTGACAGCTTACGTACTTTTATTTCTGAGAGTGTGGGATAAAGTTAAAGGTTTGTTTTTTTTTTAACCAAAATAAAGATGACAAACAGAATGTCATGGAAAACAAAAATTTTAACTCATCCCATGTAGAAATACTTTTTAACAATAGAAACATTCTAAAAAGTAAGACAAAATTACTAAAGTTAAAATGTTGAAATATAAAAATAAAAACTCTTCTTCTTTGGCCTTAGTCCTGTATGGTTGCGGGGTGGGCTCTTTGGAACAAGTCCTCCATTTAGACTTGTCCATATGATTTTTACACATTCCGGCCAGCCTGTCGTCTGGGCCTGTCACCCTCATACACTACAGACAATTTAGCCTATCCAATTCACCTGTTGCATGTCTTTGGACTGCAGTGGAAACTGGAGCACCCGGAGGAAACCCACGCAAACGCAGGGAGAACATTTAAAAATAAAAACTATTTTAAGATATAACAAATACTTTAATCCTAACCCCTTTTGAAAATGAATATTTGTATTAATGTTAGAGTGAATATAGCCTATTTATTTTGGTGCATTTAAACAGAACCGTATTATTAAACAGTTATACGCATCAAGAGTTTGATCACCTAACATCTTTAGGTATAGAAAATAATAAGTTATTGCAAATAAAATGTTATTGCGAAAGATTTCTTATATTTTTGTGTGTCTCTTGATTTTTTCTGTTTATTAACATTTTATTTTAATTTTTGAATTGTGATCTAACTTGTTTGTTTTAGTTTTGTCTTCAGTTTTGGTACTGAAATCTAATGTACAGTTGAAGTCAGAATTATTAGCCCCTCTGAATTATTAGGCCCCCTGTTTATTGTTTCCCAATTTCTGTTTAACGGAGAGCAGATTTTTTTTCAACACAATTGTAAACATAAGATTAATCCAGGTGAGGATCTTAGGAACATGGATCTTAGGAAGTCATAATGCAACGTGCTGACCGCTGGACCACAACGACGCTGCTAATCATGTGTGGCCGGAATGATACTTAATCCTGATTATCACCCTGCAGGCTACATTTTGCTCATGGGGCTGTGAGACAATAAATAAGAAGAGCGGAGCTGCGGCAAAATAATGGATAAAAAGAGTGAGGCTATGGTCAAATAAATAAATAAATGAAAAAAAAAACTGTGACGGCTGCTTTCTCCGTTCGTCATGCTGGAGAGGAACAGTCTGAACAAATGGAACGCAGAGTTGGTGTCATTGACATAAGCTCTCATCTGATTGGCTGAAAGGTACGAGTTGCTCTGACTCTGCCAGGACAGTCTCAAAAATACACACACGTATCCAGGGGGAGTCGTATGTGAAAGAGGATTTGCACATTCTCATTTTGGATGAACTCACAAGTTTTAAACATTCAAAACTTTTTGTACACTCTTATATATTTGCAAATGGTGTTTGCATTTGTGAAACGTATTTTATGAAAATGTATTTTTATTTTGTGCATGTGAAATTTTTTTGTGAATATAAATAAATATTTTACGCACGTGAATTTGATTTTATGCATGTGAATTTGGCTACGCATGTGTACATCGTGTCTTTTGCGTGAATTTATTTTGAGACTTATCTGATTCCATATTTAAAGGCTTAACTAGGGTAATTAGGTTAGCTAGGCAGGTTAGCATAATAAGGCAAGTTATTGTATAACAATGGTTTGTTCTGTAGACTATGGAAAACAATATATACATACATACATACATACATACATACATACATACATACATATATATATATATATATATATATAAAAATATATATATATAAATATATATATATATATATATATATATATATATATATTAGAGGTGTGAACCTATACTGGTCTCACGATTCGGTTTGGTTACGATTATCATGCCTTCGATTCGGTTCAATTCGATACCTCGGTGCATCAACGATGCTTTCCATATACAGTATTATATTTTAGGGGGGAGGCTTAACATGCTGTCTGTATAAACACACAGACACTCAGCACCACACTGTCTCTCATTCAAACACATACACAAACATAGACAGCAACACACACACACACACACACACACACACACACTTAAGCCCTCGCAACAGGGAAAAAAGAAGCACATTTCCGATGGTCCCTTACTGAGAGCTCCTCTCAGCGCGAGCTCTCCCGGCTAAACACATTTTGCGAGGGCTTAAACAGAGCAGTGCTCGTAATGTCGAGCGAAAAAAAAGAAAGACAGCTGTGAAACATAACCAGCTTTGTCTTTTTGTCCTTTGTCCATTTTGACCCTAAAATAGTTTTGAAAAAAATTAGAAACTGCTTTTATTCTAGCCAAAATAAAACAAATAAGACTTTCTCCAGAAGAAAAAATTTTATCAGACCCACTGTGAAAATTTCCTTGCTCTGTTAAATATCATTTGGGAAATACTAAAAAAGAAGAAAAAAAAACAAAACAAAGGGGGGCTAATAATTGCTGACTTTAATTGTATATGCACAAATATATTATTGTAAATTATCCTAGGGGGTGTACTCATTTATGCTAAACAATGTATATAAATTAAACTACAATAAAAAAAGAACATTGTGCATTAGTTTGGTTAAAAATTGCAAAGAAAAAATCAGTTTGTGGTGTAAATGTCCAAAAACTGAGATGCACACAAAAAAAGTGCAGCAGAATACAATCAGAGGCCATATATGCAAATCCAATGCATTACAATATCGCTCTAAATTCCTCTGAAAACACGTTTTACGATGCAGCAATAGTCAAAACCGGACCAGCAGCAACTTCCCATGCGCCTACCTTTCCAAGTTAGTCTCTCAGTTTTCCTGTGACACATCAGTGGTTCCTCTTCACACACACACTATTCCAGCTCTCCAATGCACAAATCAAAGTGCTCTAAGTGTCAGAGACAGCAGAAAGTGTGTTGGGAGTCGTGGCTCTGCAGTGAATGGAGCTCATGGTGTCTGCTGCTTTGTGTGAGAGAGCGCTAAACTGCCTAAATCCTGCAGCGTGAAGCAAAAGACATTCTTCAGCTGGAGAGAAAAGAGGAAAAAAAACATGCTTTTAGAAACTCCTCAATCTCAGACAAGCCACTACAAGTGTGAGCAAGTGTGTGTGTGTGAAAGAGGAGGAGTGTAGGAGAGTGTCATGTTCTCGAAGCTCTGATCTTAGATAAAACCAGCTTATCTATTGTAGTAAACAAAAGAAAATCACGTTTTGGTTTTCTTACTACCTAAAAACACACTTTGTGTTCACACTTTAAAAAAAAGTAGAATGCGAGTGTGTTCCTACCTTTGTGTCTTTGCAATGTCTGCTTCCATCCGATCTGTTTTTGTTCATTTTGACATGTTTAAGACAATTCGAATGTACAAACACACACATGCAAGCAAGCAGGGAACCTGCTTATCATGACAATCTGGATTAACTTGTTTTGTTTTAGACTTTCACAATCGATTTTCCTGATAATCAATCATGATAGCATAGACCACTGAAAAATGACCTGTAAGAATAGTTCACCACAAAATTAATTCCACTATCATTCCGCATGAAAGAAGATACTTTGAAGAATGCTGGAAACCTGTAACCATCAACTTAATAGTATTTGTTTTGAAGTCAATGACTACAGGTTTTTAGCTCTCTTGAAAATATTTTCGTTTGTGTTCTACAAAACTAAAAAAAAAACTCAACTGGTTTGAGTAAGCTAAATATAGACAGAATTTAAATTTTGGGGTGATATTAGATGCACAAAAGGAAGACATGATTACCAAGTTATTTCAATTATTATTACTTACGAATCAACAATAAAGGTGAATTACTTTTGAATTTTGCACATTAAATTAATTATAAAGTTTCAATGTTGTTTTAATGTCCTCTCAGCAGTGTATAAGGTAAATATACCGTTACTGCAGTAAATTGAAGTAAAACTGTAGGACAACAGCAGTATAGACGTATAACCACAGTAACATTAAGAACAATTGCAAAATTGCAATACAATGAAGTATGAACACAGTTCAAATACAGTACAATGAAGTTCAACAGTAGTATAAGTTGCAGTAAACTGGAGTAAAGACAAGTAAACTTCTTCTTTACTGCACTTGTGGTGCTGTATATGACAATGGTGTGGTAAGAACCGTCTGTCCTTTGTTGATCTTCCTTTGTTGATCTTCCAAGAATATTTTGTAGTTTTTTTAGGGAATGTTTTTTGGATTCAAGTAATTTTCTAAATAGGATTGTAAGAGTTTATTTGCTAAAACAAACTAAAAATAACCGCAGTAAACTGAACAGTACAACAGCAGTATCCTATATACAAGGATAACAGTGGTATATTCAATGCGACTGCAAAAACTGCAGAATAATGGGGTATTACATAGTTCAACTACAATGCAAAAAGTTGAACAGCAGTAAAATTGAAGTAACATTAAATAAACTGAAAGGGGCAATATAGTGATGTTATATATATTGCACTTGAGTATATAGGCTACGTACTAAAAGTGCACGTTAGATTTATTATGTATTGCAGTATTGTAGATGTAAAAAAAGTGCAATGCAATATATTGTGGTAGTACTTCAGCAATACAACTGAAGTACTGAAACCTCATTTGGAAACCATTGTCCACCGACCAGGAAAAGTAGTAGGCTACTGTAGTTATATTACAGTTGTATTACAATAGCGGTATAGCAGTTGTACTGTTATAGTACTTCAGTTGTATTGCAGTATCAGTACTGCATTATAGTAGTTACTTCAGTAGGCCTACCATTGGTGTACTGCATTACAGTAGTAGTATCACTTTGGTGCTATTGCAGTAGTTGTACTGTAATAGTACTTCAGTTGTATTGCAGTATCAGTACTGCATTATAGTAGTTACTTCAGTACCATTGGTGTACTGCATTACAGAAGTAGCATCACTTTGGTGCTATTGCAGTAGTTGTACTGTAGTAGTAATTCAGTTGCAGTAGATATACTGGTTGTATTGTAGTACTTGCAATATACTTAGATAATGCCTTTTTTTCGTGTCCAAAAATTCACTTTTCAGAAGTTAACTAAAACTGCAGCATTCCTTTAAAAACTGCAGTAGTCTTACTCTTTTCCAAGCATGAACTGTAAACATTGTTTAAATACTTTTTTTCCACTGCTGAAGCAATAACTAACATTATTAGTTTATTATTATTATTATTATTATTATTATTATATGTTAGCTAGGTACTGGCATGTTTAATGATAAATAAAATAACGTTACAGACTTTGTTGCAACATTTAAACCGTGTTTTGCGAAAGTCATATTTTAAAATCAATGAAACGCCACCTAAGTTAGTCATCAGTAAGTTTTTTTTTCTCTAAATAAACTATTATATTACAAAATAACAATTAAATACCTGGACATAAATTGAATATTAATCGGAGCTTAAAGTATTAATATTTAGGCTAACGTTACTTGCAAATGATTAGTTAAGCGTACGTCAACAGTAAACTCTTTCAGGTTGTCTTCCTCGGAGCGGTTCTTTTGCGAATATTGTTTATTCTTGTTTTAACAATACTATACGCTGTTTTAACTATACGTTGTTTTAACTATACTATACCGTTGTTTATTAAGAGGTTTATGATTACTGAAGTCCACCAAGTCTTATTTCACCAAATGAATATGCGTTACCGCTTTCATTCACAAGATGGCGGCAACGTGCCGTTAAAACTGCCACTGGTACGAAAACAAAAGTCAAACATTTACCAGTCAAACTAAAACTTGAACAGCGGATGAATTCTACAAAACCTTCCCTTTAATTCCCATAAATATCACAGTTATAAATAACCAAACATGAATTGAACACATGAAAACATATCTACAAAGTCACAGTAGCACCATGCATGTTCATAAAACCGATAATGACAGTTGGTCAGTCAGGAACGCAAACATTCTTCACAACCCATCAAACCAAAGCGCTCGCAAATCCGAGAAACACTCACCAAGACAAAGCTGGATTCAATTCAGTGTTCAAAATACCGCTTTATGAGAGCAAAATCTGCTCCTAAAGCTCCTGCAAATGTCCAAAAGCATCATTCAAATTTCAAAACATGACAGACATACTGAGGCAAAGGGAAGTAGTAGGGTCAAAAATTAACTTTTGCCACACCTCTCAGGATTTATGACCACAGGTAGAAAACATGGCCATAGAACTGCATTTTTAAATATATATTAAAAGCAAATAAATAAATAAATAGGAATTATTCAGATAATACAATCGTTTTCTGTTCGAGATCTTTGAATACATCACTTCCATTAGTGAGGATCTGTCTCAACAGCCTATTGTGTTTGTAATAAAATTAGTTTTTGTTTGCATTACAGTACAATAGACACCAAGGTCATGTGTTTATGAATGAAATTATTTAATTTAGGCCTCTGTACCTTCAAGGCAATGCAAGTCACTTGGAATAGGAACCGTTTAGTAACGTGGTGCCTGGCGAGTGTTAATTTTGGACCCTGCCCTGAACAACACCAGATTCACATTCATGTGAGAACACGGATCACTTCTTCTGTTTACCGAGAGCTAGTGCTTTACTAAACCATTAAGAAGTCCTTCATTTTAAGACCAGTTATTGATGTGCTTCTTTCTTAAATGTGTGTAAATTTCTTCTCGACCTGAGTATGAAGGTCTGATTGATACAACAGACTGATATATTGAGAATATTGGCTCAGATTTGTATTTTCCCTTTTAATTTTCCCTAATCTTCAAGGAACACGTCATTCTGTGACGGCAGGACAAGCTGGTGGATCTCTCGTGTTTTCGATTAAGTCAAATAAAGTGGCATTGTTTAAGTCACACTGAGGGAAGATGTCGATTACAAGGAGTCCTTGTCCGGGAAACAGGACATCAGTCTTTATTGGAAGGCACTGGAAGAACGAGACGGAGAAGGGCGAGTTGGAAACAGGAGGGAAAAATCACTCTTGACTGGTCCGTCTCTTCTCCAGCTTCTGTTTCAGCTCGTCTGTGAGGCCTGATGGGAAGATAATTTTCAAGTCGTATATTTAATATTCTGTCATATTGTTACCCTGTTAAAATTTATTTCAATTATTAGAGACACCAGTGAACGTAAGAGGAAAAATGTGCTACTTTTTAAAAAGATGTCTGTAATAATTAAAATAAATGAATACAATAAATGTTCTAATTCAAGCTGGTTGTCCTGTTTAATACATTTGTGGACACACTTTTTTCACAAATCTTCAAGTTCAATAGAGCTGCATTTATATATCATAAAGCAGTGTTTCTCAACCATGTTCCTGGAGGACCACCGACACTGCATGTTCTGGATGTCTTCTTTATTGGTCACACTCATTACAGGTTTTTCAGTCTCTGCTAATGAGGTAATTATCTGAATCAGGTGTGTTTGATTAAATAGATGAAAATGTGCAGAGCTGGTGGTTCTCCAGGAACGTGGTTGAGAAACAGTCAAAGTACACTCACCGGCCACTTTATTAGGTACACCTGTTCAATTGCTCATTAACGCAAATTACTAATCAGCCAATCACATGGCAGCAATTCAGGCATCTAGACATGGTCAAGATGATCTGCTGCAGTTCAAATCGAGAATCAGAATGGGGAAGAAAGGGGATTTAAGTGAATTTGAACACACCATGGTTGTTGGTGCTGGTCTGAGTATTTCAGAAACGTCTTATCTACTGGGATTTTCACGCACAATCATCTCTAGGGTTTACAGCGGATGGGCTACAACAGCAGAAGACCACACCGGGTGCCACTCCTGTCAGCTAAGAACAGGAAACTGAGGGTACAGTTCGCATAGGCTCACCAAAATTGGACAATAGAAGATTGGAAAAACGTTGCCTGGTCTGATGTGTCTCAATTTCTGCAGTGACATTCAGATGTTAGGATCAGAATTTGGCCTCAACAACATGAAAGCATGGATCCATCCTGCCTTGCATCAACAGTTCAGGCTGGTGGTGGTGGTGTAATGGTGTGGGGGATATTTTCTTGGCACACATTGGGTCCATTAGTACCAATTGAGCATTGTGTCAATGCCACAGCCTACCTGAGTATTGTTGCTGACCATGTCTATCCCTTTATGAGCACAGTTTACCCATTTTCTGATGGCTTCTTCCAGCAATATAATGCGCCATGTCATAAAGAGCGAATCTCAGACTGGTTTCTTGAACATAACAGTAAGTTCACTAAACTCAAATAGCCTCCACAGTCACCAGAACTCAATCCAATAGAGCACCTTTGGGATGTGGTGGAAGGAGAGATTCGCATCATGGATGTGCAGCCGACAAATATGAATGAGGAATATTTCCAGTACCTTGTTGAATCTACACCATGAAGAATTAAGGCAGTTCTGATGGCATAAGCGGGTCAAACCTGGTACTAGTAAGGTGCACCTAATAAAGTGGCCGGTGAGTGAATATATAATTTGTAAAAATTCTTTTTAACAATTGCCAATTTTGATCAATCTAATGTATTTGTATATATATTTTTTGCATTACTAGGCTCATCCTAGGTCAGAAGATAACTCTGTAAATACAATTTAAATAATATTAATACATATAGATTTTTATAACATGCCACAAAAATCATGCACTGATACAATTCACTAAACAAGAAATTCATGAAAGCATAATACACTAAATAATGAGAAAAAATATCACATATATGCACAAAACATACAGAATTTAATGTATTCTTGCTGATTGAAGCACTGATTTAAGAATTTATTTGACAAAATCGAAACAAAGTATAAGGTAAAAGTTAAATAATTGTGGTAATTTAGGTAATTGTGATGTTTTAAATCAATCAGACGTTTCTTTTCAGAATTATAAAATGTAAAGTTGGAAAGTTGCTATTAGGAAAAGAAAATCTAAATTGATATATAGAGTCATAATTATTATCTTAATTATAATTCATTTGGATCAAACTCCAAGTTAATATACTAATGTTTTTCCACAAAACTGAAATGGAAAAATAGAATGAATTTTAGTGGTTTTAAACATAACTACCTTCTTTTATTTTTTAATTGTGTGCCAGAAACGGGCAAAACGTTAGTGGTAGTGTACTAGTAATGTCTTCTATGAAAGGATAGTTAACTCAAAAAAAAAAAAAATTCTGCCATCACTTATCCAGTTTTTTTTTCTGTTTTAAAAATATTTTGAAGAATGTTGGAAACCTGTAACCATTGACATTCATAGTAGGAAAAACAAATACTCTGGAAGTCAATGGTTACAGGTTCCCAACATTCTTCAAAATATCTTCTTTTGTGTTTAACAGAAAAATAAAACTCAAACTGAATTGGTACAAGTCTAGCGTGAGTAAATGATGGCAGAATTGTTGTTTTTGGTTAAAATATTCCTTTAGTAATACACGACTATACAGAAGTACACTGCTGTGTTACTGATTGAAGTCATTAGTAGTCTACTTCTAATAATGTCTATGAAGGGATAGTTCACCCAAAAATAAAACGCTTTGCCATCATTTATTCATCCACGACTTGTTCCAAAACAGTTTTTTGTTCTGTTAACCACAAAAGAAGTATTTTGAAGAATGTTGGAAACCTGTAACCATTGACATTCATAGTAGGAAAAACAAATACTCTGGAAGTCAATGGTTACAGCTTTCCAACATTCTTTAAAATGTCTTCTTTTTTGTTTAAAAGTAAAATAAAACGCAAACTGAATTGGAACAATTGGGTGAGTAAATGATGACAGAATTGTCGTTTTTGATAAAAAAATATCTCACACTACTGTTGAAGTCATTAGTAGTCTACTTCTAACAATGTCTATAAAGGGATAGTTCAACCAAAAATAAAAATTCTTCCACTATTTATTCATCCATTACTTGTTTTATTTGTTCTGTTGAACACAAAACGAAGAGATTTTGAAGAATTTTGGAAACCTGTGACCACTGACATTCATTGTGAAAACAAACAAACAAACATTATGGAAGTCAATGGTTACAGACCTCCAACTGTTGACTTAGATCAGGGGTCACCAAACTTGTTCCTGGAGGGCCGGTGTCCTGCAGATTTTAGCTCCAACCCTAATCAAACACTGAACAAGCTAATCAAGGCCTTGCTAGGTATACTTGAAACATCCAGGCAGGTGTGTTGAGGCAAGATGGAGCTAAACCCTGCAGGCACACCGGCCCTCCAGGACCAGGATTGGTGACCCCTGACTTAGATAGTATTTGTTTAGTTTTTTTCTAGGAATGTCAGTGTTTACAGGTTTCCAACATTCTTCTAACTATCTTATTTTGTTTTTGACAACAACAAAAAAAGCCAAATTGAATTGGAACAAGTCTAGGATGACTCAATTCAATCTTTTATTACAGACTCAAAGTCCGATATATATTCCATAACATAAGAAACAGAACAATTTACAAAATACAGCAATACCAGCGTCTCAACAGCTCTGCTTGATAGCGTACACTGACCTCTATGTGTGATAAACCCACAATAATCTCCTTGTTGGAAGCATTAATTCGGGAGATAAATTTAGACATAGGATTCCGTAGCAGTGCTTTAAAAGTGATCACTCCCGCACTTACAAACATTTCCCTTGCACTACCATCTAGAGCAGGGGTCACCAATCCTGGTCCTGGAGGGCCGGTGTCCCTGCAGGGTTAAGCTCCAACTTGCCTCAACACACCAGCCTGGATGTTTCAAGTATACCTAGCAAGACCTTGATTAGCTTGTTCAGGTGTGTTTGATTAGGGTTGGAGCTAAGATCTGCAAGACACCGGCCCTCCAGGAACAAGTTTGGTGACCACTGATCTAGAGCTTCTTAAGAAAATTCTCAAAGCATCATCATAAGCAACTTGGAGCTTTTAAAAATGAGTAAATGATGGCAGAAGTGTCCTATTTGGAATAATATACCTTTAGTAATACGCTACTCTTTATATGGTAGTACACTGGAGTATTACTAATAACTTCAGATAAGATTTTCTATTATTTTAACTAAGTCAGTATGTATAAAAATAATAAAGTGTTGTTTTATTTGTTTGTTTTGGAGCTGTGGAAGTGTTCTCGATGTCTTACTCTGAGATAGTGGTGATGGAGACAGAACCAGCCTTCTCATGGAGTTGGACGGGGAACCAGACGGGGAGAAAGATCTTGGTGAGGGACTGGGAGATCTCGTCTGCGATCGCAGTGACCATTTGTCTGTACCAACTCAACACACACACACACACACACACACATTTAAGTTAGCCTAGATTCTGAGGCGAGAACAGAGTGCACTATTGATCTGGATAAAAGCATTCTATCATACACATAGATGTATGTTGTAAATATGTGCAGACCGAGTCATTTTCTCAGACTGCACAGTGTTGAGCAACTCCTACAAGCTGCAAATTGCTGAAACGCACAGATTGAGACTTGTTTCATAGTTTTGCAACAAGAGTCACTCGACGCAAAAGTGTTCTTGCATGTTGTTTAGTATGAGAACAGAAACTGATATAAAGAGCTAAATCTGGTATAAAGTGTCTTGGAGCGATTATGCTTAAATTACTGCATAAAAAACCAACTGGGTTACAAAATAAGACCTTTGAATTGGGAGCAGTGGTGGAAAGAGTACTGAAAAAGCATACTCAGGAGTCAGATCTGAGTTTCAACAGTCATGTCAAAGCAGTTAGTAAATCAGCATACTATCATCTCAAAAACATAGCAAGAATCAGATGGTTTTTTCCAGTGAAGACTTAGAGAAACTTGTTCATGCTTTTATCAGCAGCAGGGTGGATTACTGTAATGGACTCCTCACTGGCCTGCCTAAAAAGACAGTCAGACAGTTACAGCTCATCCAGAACGCTGCGGCCAGAATTCTGACCAGAAGCAGGAAATCAGAGCACATCACACCTGTCCTCAGGTCTCTACACTGGCTGCCAGTTACATTCGGAATAGAGTTTAAAGTATTATTACTGGTCTATAAATCACTAAATGGCCTAGGACCTCAATACATTACAGATATGCTCACTGAATACAAACCCAACAGATCACTCAGATCTTTAGGATCATATAAACTAGAAATTCCAGTTGAAGTTCAGTCAAAGCAGGGTGAATCTGCCTTCAGCCACTATACCCCTCGCTGCTGGAATCAGCTTCCAGAAATGATCAGATGTGCTCCAACATTAGGCACATTCAAATCAAGACTGAAAACACATCTGTTTAGCTGTGCCTTTACTTAATGTGCACTGTGCTACATCCGACAGATTGCACAATTATGTTTTTCGTTTTCTTTTTCATTCTTTTATAACCTATTTTAACACATTTTAAATTGTTTTTATCTGTTTTTAATCATTTGTCGGCATTTTATGTCCTAAACTTGTCTTTTTTATTCCTGTTTATGTAAAGCACTTTGAATTGCCACTGTGTATGAAATGTGCTATATAAATAAACTTGCCTTGCCTTACTTAAGTAAAAGTACCATAACTTTCCTAAAAATGTAGTGTGAGTAGAGTAAAAGTACCTGTTGTAAATATTACTCAAAGTAGGAGTAAAAAGTAGAACTTTTAAAAGTACTCATGAGTAGTGAGTATTATGCTGTTAAAAGCTGATGCGTTTACATGTAATTTGTGGATGTGTGTGTAAACGTAACATTCTATAGTGCATTATTTATTACCCAGCAGGCACACAATGTCATAAGACGTTAATATTAGGTTAGATTTAGGTTGTGATGTCAGGTGACCAAAATTCAATGTCTAGCCAGCGTCTAAGGACAGCATTATTTTGATGTCCAATGATGACATCAAATGACGTTGATATCTGGTTGACTTTAGGTTGTTAGAAAGTGACCAAAATCCAATGTCGATTTAACATCTTAAACCAGCATCCTATAGACTTCAAATACTGACATTAATTCATCAGTTATGGCAACCAAAATTCAACGTCTGATGGATGTCATAGTGGTAACGTTGACGCAATGTCAAGCTGTAACATCATTAGACGTTGATATTTGGTTGGTTTTAAGTTGGACGTTGGACATTGACATCAGGCTGACGTTGAGTTCTGATGTAAACTTGACTTTTTATTTTCAGAATACAGAATGCAGCGTCTCCATGACGTTAGGGTACGATTTCAATCTGACGGCATGTTGACGTCTTGAGTCTGCTGGGTGTTTAAGGCCATTTCGGTCATCACACTGTAAATATCCATCATCTTCTTATCAGTGACATGCATCTAAACCCTAAGCCCATACTCGGTCCTGGAGGGCCGGTGTCCTGCAAAGTTTAGTTCCACTCACAATTAGACGCACCTGGGCTAGATAATCGATCTCATACTAGGCTTTCTAGAAATATCCGTGCAGGTGTGTTGCAAGTTGGAGCTAAAATCTGCAGGACATCGGCCCTCCAGGACCGTGTTTGGGCATCCCTGATCAGTCTCTGGGTCAATGCGTGTAAAGATTTTGAACATCTTCTTGGACACTTTTAATGCTTTAATGCAATGTAAATCGCCCATGTCTTGAGGTAGTTCATTATGATGAGATTTACCTTCTATGTGTGATTTGATTGGACGGGAATTACAGGACTGATTTTTCTAATTTCTTAATTCTAAGAAAAAGTAAAGTGGTAACTGCAGGTTGAAGGAAAGTAGTGGAGTAAAAGTACACATACAGCACTAAAAATGTAATCAAGAAAGAGTAACAGTACACAGTTTTAAAACTACTTGGTAAATTACAATTTCTGAGAAAAACTACTTAATTACAGTAACTTGAGTATTTGTAATGAGTTACTTTACACCACTGATTGGAAGCTTGTTTATTTGCAACTATTTAACAATTGCACAGTAGAATTTAAGCTGAAGCAATATCTGGTATATGTGACCCTGAACCACAAAACCAGTCATGGCGGTATATTTTTTTGAATCTGAGATTTATACATCAAACGAAACATGATTAAACAAGCAATATACATATTAATAATAATTCTGGAATCTGAAGGTTAAAAAAAAGTTGAAATACTGAAAAGATCACCTTTAAAGTTGTCCAAGTTAAGTTCTGCATTTAGCACTGCATTTTACTAATTAAAAAACACAATTAATTTAGATACATTTAGGGTTTGCAAATTTACAACATGTCCCCATGGAACATGCTCTTTATCAATTATTCAAATTAATAGTGGACAAAAGAAAACAAAAAATTGATAAATTTACATTTACAATGAAATTAAATGACAGAACAATGAATACATAAATAAAAGAAAAAAAAATTGTATTTGTCTAATGTTAATTTAGACTATATATTAGCTAAGAATTTAAATGAACTGTTGTTATTATCTGCTTTCAAACGTACATAATCATTTTAATAATTTGTAATAATTCATTTAAAGTATCTTTTGTTTACATTGCACTAAAAGCCAAGCACAACTCTCACCACTACAGAGTGAGATCATTTCTACTGTGTGCGCCTGCAGAGCACAAGTGCGTCAATACACTTGCGAGCCGTGTGTGGACTTGTACTTGTGTGCGAAAAAGACGCAATATGTCAACAGCTTGCTGCTACAATTAAAAATGCAGCGTTGAGAAGCCGTTAATGAATAAAAGCGGGGTTGATAGTGAAATCGGCTAATCAATGCATCCCTATTAATGATATCAGTGCATTGTTTAAAAGGCCTTTTCCACAAATATATCCAAATGTTTTCGGCTCGCGCCATTCACTTAATGTCAGATGAATCACTCTCTGCGCAGCCTCTGCAGCTTGTGCTGCATTAAACAGACGCAAATTGCCTCGGAGGCCGGGTTCGACCCACGGGCCGCCAATTGAATTCCCCTGGTCTATACACTATACCTACACACGTCTGTCCAAACTGCTTGAAAAGAAGATTTTTCACCATAGGTGCCCTTAAACACTCCTCAAAACACTTGGTATAATGTAAGTGCACAAGTCAGCAAAATGTATACCACTGTTCCAGTGGTTTTGTATATTTTAATAAAAACATTGTACATAATTATTATTATATATATCAACAAATGTCAACAGGTGTAGTTTGTTGTACCTTGTTTAGGGGGCAGTGATGGAGCTCGAGACAGAAATCCAGTGGGAGCACAGTGAAGGGTTCGCTCTCCATTCTCATCATTTGATGACACAAATGCTATAAAATAAAACAGTTCAGTCAATAAATTCAGTTTTAAACAGGATATATTTAAAGAGAACCTAATATGCCCATTTTTACAAGATGTGTATGTGAAGTTTCAGCTCAAAATACCTCAAAAATAGGTTTTGAAAACTCTTTGAAACTGACCCTTTAGGGCTTTAATTCAAATCGAGCCATTTTGGTGACTGTCACTTTAAATTCAAATGAGATTGTGCAGCTTTTCTGAAGAGGGTGGAGCTACAAACGCCTGTGTGTCAGCATATCAGCAGATTCGAAATAGGACTAATGTTATCTCTGTGAGAAACTGAAAATGTCAAAAGAAGGTTGTCTATAGAGAATAAAGTGTTCACTTCACATTTATAATGCCTCTTAGACGCTGACATTATCTATAGCAGGTACAGTGTGTACAAACTTGTAATGGTGGACGGCTGCTTCTCACTCAGGGCTGTCTATGCTAATGAGGGACAGATGATCACTGATGGGCGGGGCTTTCCCCTTGTGATAACGTGTACAAAGGGAGAATGTCCATCACAGTGTTTCTGCAGACTGTTTTTATCAAGTGTGACTATAAAAAAATAAAATAAAATGAATACATTTGTACCATTTGAAGTTGGTTTATTCACACACCATAGCCACACAACTGTTTAAACCACATATAAAAGTGATTTTTCCATAATAGGTCCCCTTTAATAAAAACAATATTTAGTTGTTGTGCTCCTAAAAATGCAAGTCAAAAGCTACAAACATGTTGAGAGTCCAAAAAAACTGTATATGGGCAAAAACAAAATTGACTCCTGTGGCTCTTAACAATACACTGAGGTCTTATGAAGCAAAATCATCAGTCTGTGCAAGAAACTGAAGATTATTTACAATATTATCAACATTTACCTGTTTCCTAAAGCTGTGGATTTAGGGTAATGACGTTGTAAATAATGTTTAATTACTCACAAATCAGTTTGCTTCTGTGTACCATCAAAAGTTATCAGTACCCGTGTAAGTTTTGAAGGGGGTAATAATAATGAAAAAATATATAAAGATTGTTTATGAAAATAAACCCCCCCCACAAGAAATATAAAATAGGAAATACTGTGGAACATGTCATTGCCCTGTTGAACATAAATATTTGGAAAAGAATTTAAATTTCACAGGAGAGCTTAATATTTTTGTTTTCAATTGTATAGCCGTTATCCATTGCGAAAACATAGTCGACTGACGAATAAAGGGATTAAGCCAAAGGAATATGAATGAATGAATGAATAAAAGTAACAGATTTTTCAATTTAAAGATGTAAAAAATAAATAAACGCTCGAAAGAGGGGAAAAGTAACTTTCAGATTAGCATTATCTCATTCCCCCAACATTTATGTCATTTATTTAATTATTTATCTGCCTGCACTATTAATTACTTATATATTTATTTTTGCAGCAATATAAATATAAATAAATATATATATATATATATATATATATATATATATTCATTTATTTATTGACATTGGAATTTGTGGATTTATTTACTCATTTATTTATTTATTTATTGCTTTAATGATGCAGGAAACTGTAGATTTATTTACTTATTTTTGTATTTATTTGCACATTTATTTATTTATTTATTTATTTATTTATTTATTTATTTATTTATTTATTTATTTATTTATTTATTTATTTATTTATTGTTTCTGCTGGTTTTGTCCTCCATAAGCTTTGGAAACAATTTGCAAAGATATTTAAATTTCACAGGAGGGCTTAACAATGTCTTCATTTGCATCTCCATTTAATTAACTGAACATATAAATTGCATTTAAAACAGCTTTTGTCATTATTTAGATTTCTTGAGCTGATCATATTTAATTTTATGTAATAAAAAAGTCATTTTAAGTGTATTCTATAGTCTTTGCATTTATCCTGAGTCATTTCACTTTTAAAAGTAAACACTGAGGCAGAGAACACTTTTAGAACATTTAGAATCTGATGATGCGTACAGAATCTCTACATCACACCAGAATACCTGCAGCAGACACATTTAACATTGTTGGTTTACAGTAGCAAGAACGATCGCTGATTCTGTCCGAGCGAACAAACTGTGTCTATATGGCGAACAACGAACTGAATATGGAGATCACGAGTACAACTGTGACGGAGAAGCCAAAGAAAAACTGGCGCTTAAAACTGCCCTCTTTCCTGAAACCTGCCAGGAAAAACAAGATCTTCCGAAGGCAGAAAGAGACGCCGCAGTTCAAGCAAACGCCTGACATTGGCAATGATTGTAAGTCAAATTTATTTTGTGAAATGAGTAGAAGTTTCCTTAATCAATATGTAGAAATTACTAAGAGATTACTCCTGATATCTGTCCCAAAACATTTGTAATTATTTTAGATAAATAACCTTAAACATTTACACATTGCTTAAATCACACAGGATGTACAGCAATACACAAATATCTTTACAAATGATGAGTAAAAGGATTAAAATGTTACAAAAATTATTATTTTCCACATAAATATATATAAAAAAACTCCTTACATGCTTTCTTCATCTCTGTGTTTTTTCAGTTTATTCATGATAATTTGCAGTTGTATAATGTTATTATTAGCAGTATTATTTATTATATGCATGTTTATATTTGTTTTAATAAAAACAAGTTTAGATTTGTCCACTTGTTGGGTTTTGGAGACTCTTAAAGGGAATGTGAGATGAGACTCTGAATGGTTTAATGCGCAATATGCTTAAAACACACCCATAACTCATCAAGAAAATAAGCACAACCGTATTTTTCCATCCTGAAAATAGCAAAATTGGATGTGGACAAGCCCTTTGTGTTGAGATTGTTAAAATAGAGCACTTCGTCTCCAATTTCTTAAAATAACACTTATCATCACTCAAATCCAGTAAAAAAATGACCGTTTGTGTAACCACAGTTTTATTACAAATACCATGGTTGAACTGTGGTAAATGTAGCAAAACTAAGGCGAATTTGTTGTGATAAATGCTTAGCCACAATAGCCATGTGCTTTTTTTCTTTCTTTTAGTTTAATCTGTTGTAAAACTATGGTAAATGTTCATAAGGTATGATCTAAAAAGTGTGTAAACTACACGCATTATCTCTTAATAGATGAGGTGGAGGAGGACGAGGGAACAACAAAGAGGAAAAAGAGTAAAGTGGCCAATTTCCTCAAAGCTGCCAGAAAACTCTTCAGGATGTCCTGCTTTGGCCAGACTGAGGAGCAGCTCTCTGACCCTGCAGACTCTGATGGTAAATAATTATATTTATTGCAATTATTTTTTATTTTTTAAACCTATGATGTGATGAATAATTAGTGTTTTTAATTAAACTTCATCCAAGTTTAACATCGCCTTGAGAATGACTGTGTAAACTGTGTAACTGCAATCATTTCTCTATTGACAGATGACATTCTCTGCCCATCCGAGTCTGACCAGAGTCTGGAGGTTGCTCTTGTCATCACTCATAATCATGAAGAGAGTTGTGTGAATGACGACCTAAAGGTGAGTATATAAAGATGACCAACTGTTTAATGCATGTTCTCCTGATGCTTTCACTAATATATCAAGAGTCTGTTTCAGGATCAGTGAGAGGAATGATGTCTGCTTACATGTGAACTGACTTGAGTTTGGTTTTGTTCTGCAGGTGGATGAGAAAGATGACATGAAGACACACAACACAGAGCATGTCAACAAAGAGGAGGAGGTGGAGGAGATGAGGATGAACGATGAGAAGGACAAGGAGGAAAAGATTAAGAAGAGGAGGAGGAGAAAGAGAAATAGCAAGATGAAGGAGGAGGAGGAAAAGAAAGAGGAGGAGGTGGTGAAAGAAGAGATGAAGATAAAAGAGGAGAGTTTGAAAGAAAATGAAGAGGAGGAGGAGGATAAGAATGAAAAAGAGATAAAAGTAAAGGAGGAGAAGATGAAAGATGATGAGGAGGAGAACAATGAGGAAGAGATGAAGATAAAAGAAAATGAGGACGAGGAGAAGGAAAACATGAAAAAGAGAATGAGGAGGAGAAAAAGAAATAACAGGATAAAAGAGGAGAAGAAGGAGGAGAAGTTGATAGAGAAGGAGATGGAGGTAAAGGAGGAGAGGATGGAAGAAAATGAAGAGAAAGAGATGGATAAGAATGAAGAGGAGATGAAGGAGGAAGAAACAGAGGAGGAGGAGGAAGAAAAGCCAAAGGAGGAGAAGAGAAAAAGAAGCAAGAAAATAGACAGCAGGAAAAGCAGAAGGATGATGAGGAGAAGAAGCAAAAGGAGAAGACTGGGGAGAGTGTGAATGAGAAAGAGATGCAAATAAAAATGTTGAAAAAAAAGTTTCTGGCCTAAAATATTATTGTGTTGAAAAACAGTGCAGAGCAGGGGTGATTCTAGGATTTTCATTATAGGGGGGCTCAGCTCCTTATAAGGTAAAAAAAAAAAAAATAACTAAAAAAAAAAAAAAAAAAAAAATATATATATATATATATATATATATATATATATATATGTATACTAATGTTTCACTGTATTACATGGACAGGCACAGCCATTTCAGTTCTGAACAAATAGGCTCAACCCACCTGTTTACTGTAGTAAAAACTACTTTCTATATTCAAGTGCATTTTTTGTTTCTATGTATTAAATAAATAAACTGCCACTCTTCTAATTAAATGGCATGTAATTATTCACGATTTGAATGACAATAATATACATGAAGTATATTTTAATAGTAGACAACACTGGATGTTTCTATCTCTGTCAGTGACAGTTAAAACGAGTACATTCTTTAAGTGTTTCTGTTACTGTTCTTAATCTGTATGGTATAGTTAATGAAACATGAACTGTAAAGTGTTTAATATTGGTAGTTCATTTTGAAATAAAAATAGCGAAATGTTCATAAAGAGTTTTTGCTGGTGGAAACAGCTGTGCTGATGAGGTGAACAGCCCCCCTAAAATAGGCCTAGCAACGCCCATGGTGCCGAGCCAAAAATGTGCATTCACATCATTATCATTTGACATTTTGAATATGTAAAAAAAGTTACGCAAAAGGTTTAAGCAAAACACAAAGCTTTACATAAAAATTGTTGCACAATACTAAGTCATAGGTGTTGAAAGGTAAATGCACAAATAAATTGTGTTGCAAGAATCTTCATTACTATTATTCATTCATTCACTTTCCCTCGGCTTAGTCTCTGATTTATTAGGGGTCTCCACAGCGGAATGAACCGCAAACTATTTCAGCACGTTTTAAGCAGCGGATGCCTTTCCAGCCACAACCAAGTACTAGGAAGCACCCAAACACTCTCTTATTCACACACACTCATACACTACGGCCAATTTAGTTCATCCAATTCACTACTGCATGTCTTTGGGACTTGAACCAGCGACCATCGTACAGTGAAATGACAGCGCTAACCACCAAACCTAACTCATTCATTCATTTCGGCTTGTTCCCTTTATTAATTAGGGGTCGCAATAGTGGAATGAACCGCAAACTTATCCAGCATATGTTTTACGCAGCAGATGCCCTTCTAGCCGCAACCCATCTCTGGGAAACATCCACACATTCACACACACACTTATGGAACACACACACACTTACGGAAAATTTAGCCTAATCAATTCACCTGTACTGCATGTCTTTGGACTGTGGGGGAAACCGGATCACCCGGAGGAAATCCACGCCGACACGGGAAGAACATGCAAACTTCACATAGAAATGCCAACTGGCCCAGCAAGGACTTGAACAGGCGACCTTCTTGCTGTTAGGTGCCAGTGCTAACCACTGAGCCACCATGCCGCATTAATTATTAATATTACTCATTGTAAGAGCGGTATTTCATAGTTTAATGTTCAAGGTGATTTTCATATTTTGTTTGTGCCATATAATGTTTTCTCGATGATTTGCATGTCATATACTGAGTTACTTTTCTACTGCGCATGTGTAGTATGCTTTCTCTTTGCACAACACTATTTTTTCCCTTGCACAATACCTTTTTGGCCCAAACAAAGTTAGTGTTGGACAGTTTTTGAACATGTCATTGCAGAGTATATTCCAGACTGTATAGTGAGCCATTCCACTAATAGTCTCTGCAAAAGCATCAATCAACCATGCCAAAATTAACTATATTATTCATTTGAGTATGAAAAATGTCCTTTAATGTGGACAAACTGAGTGTGCGTGTATGTGTGTGACGTACTGATGTTCTCTTCATAAGGCTCTTCCAATATAAAGGGCTGCAGAGTCCCGGCTGTTTTCTCCACCAGAGCGTTGATGACATCATGCAGTGTGGGACAGGGGATCTGGATGGACACATCAAAAACAAAGAGGAGTGAGGCCTTTTACACAAGCTGGGTTTTTCATCAGCCTGTGTAAAGATGCATTTTAAAATATCTTATGGAGAAATGAGTGACAAAAATACAGAAATTAAAAAAAAAATCCTTTAGTTTGCAAAAAAAAAAAAAAGTTTTTATCTTAGCTTGAGGTGTTTTTGGACTTGTTTGAAAGATGAATTAAAAATAATGGGAGAAGCTAACCAAAACAATGACAAAATTAGCGTTTAGAAGATATAAAACCCATATAAACATGTAAATGAATCAACGGTTTTATTCACATCACCTCATACTAGGGCTGTGACGGTCACAGATATAGTTACCGTTGTGATGAAGCAAGAAATAAAGTGGTATGTTGGTCCACGGAAAATAAGGATTTTATTATTGCTCTATTGTAACTGTTGCATCACAAATCTCTGATATATATTGGCTACACTTTGTATAAACTTATTTATACAAAATTATTATATGCTATAGTAGCCTATAGCCTACTTTAACCCTTTGACTGGCCCTCTACCAAACGCTTGACCATGTTTTTACTGTTTAAATAATGGTTTACTCAGACAGCATTGTGGGTTTATATATATATATATATATATATATATATATATATATATATATATATATATATATATATATATATATATAAATATAATAAATAAAAAAATAAAAAAACATCCTGTTGCACTACTACACTTTAGGTTTTATAGTAAAAGTGACAAACAAACAAACAAAAAAACAAGAAAAAAAACGTTAAATGAGAATCTGAAATATTTTATGGCATACTTAAAAAAATAAAGATGATTTAGTGTTCACAAATGTTTTATTTTGATTATGTTTTTTTAAAATAAATTGGTCTTACACTTCATCTTCAAGATTTTTCATATTATATGTAATAATTCCGGTACTTTTACCATAAACTGACATATCAACCATTTGATAGAGGCTGATATTTTAGAAATTATGGGATGTGTTGAAAAAAATGCATCGAGTGTGTTAACAAGCGACATTAGGAGTTAAGAAATAAAATCCAAACTTCTTGGTGGGGTAGTTAAAAGGCTATGTAAGTCAAAATATATGCCATCTCTTATATTTAAGATTGCCCCCGCATGCGTGTGTTTATAGCTTCTGTAAAAAAAAAAAGAAAAAAGACCAACATTTGACCAGACTTTAGCAAAGCAATTCATAACACTCCATCAACTGAACTCATTGCGAGTGAGACCGAGAAAATAACAAGTACAGCGCTAAGGTAAAATCAGATTCTCAAGTCACAATCTTTAAAAAAAATGACTTGTATTAAAATGTTGACAGAGGTTTGTGATATCAGAATTACAGCGGAGCATTAAAAATGCCTATTTTTGTGGAGCAATTGATTTGAGTTCGTAAACCTGCTATATTCATTTGACGAAAAAAAACTTGAAAAAGAAGCCTATGATGTTTATTAAAAAAGATTCAGTCAGATTTTTCGTTTTGTAATCTAAATTTGAATTTAAGTGCAAAATATTTAAATTGGTGGTCCAGAGTGTATAATTTAAGGCTTGGTTTTGTCTATAAGATGCAAAACAGTGTGTGCTCATGCTTTACTTGTAAATAAATCACGTTATTTTTTCATATATCTTACTTTGATTATATACAGCTATTCAGCTAACAAACAACAAATTTCCTAGACCCTCTGAAGAGGCTCTGATTGGTCAACTAACATAATGTGCTGTGATTGGCGGATCAGCTGCACATCACCAGGAAGCATCTTTGTTAATACATTACCTCTGGCCACGCCCCTTCGCTACACGTCAGCTAAAGTTTAAAATATGATGTTGTAGTGGAACATCCCTTTAAGACAGGCCTTTTATTATATTCATTTAATTTGTTTAATCCTAATAGTTACACAAGCAAAAATTAATAAGCTAAAAAGGGGTGGTGATGACGGTTATAACCACATCATTGCGAGTGACGTATCATTATGGCGTAAATGCGGTGATTTGGTTATCGTCACACCCCTTTCTCGTACTTCAGTTTCTCATCAAATCGCGACCAATCAAATGTCTGACATGCCCCGCCCCCTTCAAGACACTTCTGATTTAACGCGCTTGAGCTCAATCACTCTCACTGGCAGAGCAGTAATAAAACGAAACGTTATTGGCTGTTTTTTGTTTTTTTTAAAGGGGAGGAGCTACACTGTTGCATATCTTTATGTTTTGGTTGAGATTACATTAAACATTGAATAAAAATGCAAATTTTAAAGTACTTCATAGGATCTTTAATGGAAACGCACTTAATTCACATTTGGGATTTAAAAAATTTTTTGTGAATTTTGAAAATATTCGCTTCACATAAGGATGGAAACTCAGCTATAGAATATCAAAGAAAGTTATTCTTTACATACTGGGTTTTCCACATCGATAATGTAACCGCCCTGCTGCTTCTGTGTCACTCTGTAATGCCTGAAAACTGACCTGAAAAAAAAAGACCAACAGAAAGTTAACCAACATATTGGCTTTATACCAATACATCAACAATATTAAAGCAACAATAATCCAGCAATAAATTCAATAAAGCCGATTATGACATGTTATGATGTCATAATGAAATTCAGTGAGTGTCATAATGACAATTTGAATTAATGACTCAATTCATGAATTCAAATTCGTGTAATCCAGTGGTAATGTAATAATGAGAAAGATTCAGTCATGATGCAGGGCTGATAGTGGAAAAAATTCCTGAGCCTGAACTTTTTTTCCTTGCCCCTGAGGTGAGTAGGGGTGGGGGTACTATGTATGCAACGCACTTTTAACACATAACTTGTGGGCCCCTGGGCCCAAATATATTAACAGCCGATGTGTAACCCTGATCATCATTATTGTCAAGTGGCTCTTTTTAGACACATGCCAGTAATGTCAGTGACACATGCCAGTGTCAGTGATCTTGTGACATGTGCCAGTAGGTGTCAGTATAAGCACGTTATAAGCACATTAATCTTATAAGTCTCTTTGCTTTAATATTTAGAAATCATTAGGCAAATGACACCTGTTATCTTACATGCATATATGTTATGACTTTTCAACATGCATTTTATTATAACTTTTTAAAGGATATTATTTAAAATACCTTTAAATGAAAATAAGTTAAATAATAAAATAAATGAATGAATTAAAAACATAGAGAAGTCCATATTGTAGGGAACAAAAGAACTGCCAGGATGCAATAATATACAGTACAACAGATAAGTGTAACCCCACCCATACATAAGCATGCCACAATAAATTTGACTGACATGTACTGTCAAATGACTATATTACGTACGGAAGTATGACTACGAATACATAAAATAAATGCGTTTAAATTAAAACATCGTGGAGTAGCTCAGCAAATAAACTAACTTGCGACGCGATAAATTAGGTTAAAAGTCGCGTAATGATTAAATATGGTTTTGCTCGTGTTAATTAATGTCATAAGCTTCGCCGGGTGTCGATGTCACTGCAGTGACATGCAGCGCGACACTCTGAGTGACACAGGTCACTACACATGCCACTAGCGAGTGACACATGACAGTGGAAAACCGGACGTTAGGCTTGCCATGATAGACGGTGTTGACGGTGATACCGGTGTTAAGACGCAACACCGGTGACATCACTTTTTCACCGTGACACCGTCCCCACATTTGTTTTTTTTTTTTTTAAGTATTGTTTTTTTTTTTAAATTATTTAAATATTTATTTGAATTAAATGGTAAACATAATTCTAAATAATTTACCTAAGATAAGAGCATGCACTATAATTATCATCTGATCATAGCTACAATGCGTCATATTTCATTTATCACATCAAGAGAACAAGAGGAGTCGAATTTACAGAAAGAGAATGGCGGACGGATAAGTGTCAAAACGCAATGCAAAAGCGCCTGTTTGGCTATATTTTGCAAAAAGAGAACCTGAAGACGTAGGTAAATGAGGCAATCTGCAAACTTTGCCTGACAATGGTGGCAGCAGTTGGAGGAAACACAACTAGTTTATACACTCATTTTCAACACTTGATGTTCAACTATGTGTGGGTCCCGGGTAGATAAGATCAATAGCCATAAATGCGCAACGCATACTCTGATTTTTAAAATCACGCAACCATCATCTCACAGTTTAATAATAAATTCTTTTTTTTGCAATTGATTATTATGCGTTTAATGTAAAAAAAAAATCAATGAAGAATAGGCCGACAAAAGAGTGGGCTAACCAGTGTGTGCGCGCGTCTTTTATCACTGAGGACGCTCTCTTCAAAAACCGAAAGTTGCTTCGTCTGTCTGGCAATATTTCGGCTTTTAATAAATGAAAAGTTAATTTAGATGAGTCAATATTAAAAATTGCAATAAAGTAACTGAGACGTGCGGCCACACATCAAATCTGAGGTCTGATCTCATCTCTCTCTCTCGCTGTCATCCAGACACAGACGCCTAACGAGTCAAGTCGCAAAACTGAGGCTGGTACCAGCTGACAGGTAGAATTGCTGAACCCTTGCGAAATCTGTCAGAATACAGCAATGAAATAAACATGCATAAATGTCTTTGAGCCAGAAAGTCTATCTAGGATATCTCAAAACGCAATTGGAGCCGTGGAGGAGTTGTGTATTTCTGTCGATTTGTTTTATTTCGTTAAGTAATAATTTAAAGCTTTCTATAAATATATTTATTATGTTTGTGAGGCATATACATTTTGCTTCATTTTGTTAAGCGCTCCTGTTCAAAAACCAGACGACAGAAAGCGCATCATTTTGGTTTTCTTTATTTTATAAAAACGCTGTAACGTTTTTTGATGTATTACTCGTACTTTGTGAGCAAAAATGACGGATAACTTTAAATTGCTCCCACTGAAAAAATGCAAGTGATTGCTCTGGCGCCTCGATGTCCTGCAAGCTTTTTATAAGCAAACTATGCGCCTAATAGCACACATTCTTTAACGTTTAAGCTACCATTGTTTTATACTTGAACTGTTTTATATCTTTTATTTTAGGCAAGTCGTGATGATCTGAGAAGGCAAACTGATCAAACAGACAATGATGGTCTTCCGCTGGGCGCTGTTCGTTAAAAAAAAAATATTTTTAACGAATAAAAAATGCTCCAAACGTTTTTCTAAATAAGCTGAATAAAAAACGAAACTAAATATAAACACTTTGCCATTAGGCTGCATACAAAACTGAACTATTTCATAGCTGTAACACTAAGTTGTTTAAGGAGAAGGGGGAAATATATTTTTGTCCCGTCTATTGCTTCACCGTTATTTCGAGAATAAACCCAGCGTAAATATGCAGATGTCATTCCCAAAACATATCAGCGTATATGTGCCGAAAACGAAAGTTTCATACAAATTCTGAATGGATTATAGCCTGGAAAGTGCAAAGCGCTCCTCTTATTATCACTAAAAAGCGTCACTAATCTTAGTTCATAGAGATCTCACAAAGATCCGTTTTATTTATAAAGCTCTCTAAATTACACAATTAATCTTTTATTTACATGGCGTCTACACTCAAAAGATGATTCACGAGCACACAAAATGGCACTTAATAAAAACCAATCCGGCGCTTTCAGCAGTGAGTGAATTCTGCGAATCTAGAGAAATGACAGATCAATATCCGTGAACCTGATTTTTTTTTTTTCCCCGCAGCCACAGTACGCCGGAAATCCGGCGTGGTGCCGGAACGCTATCACCCCTGCATGATGTACACTTCTACATTTATAAAACATCCAATAACTGCCTTAAGGACCGTAATGGCAGTCAAATCCGGTGATATTGTCAGTGAATAAACCCAAAAACAACTGAATCATGGAATTTGAATACAAGTTATTGGAGGAATCCAATAATTATGTGATAATGGCCCTTTATGATAAAATTCTGTAAAATTAAGTGACTACCATAATGCATTAAACCAGGGAAAACTGGACATAACATTAATTTATAACGACATTTAGTAACCATATGATTGTAATGATATAAACCCAAAAATAAAATACAGTGAATTGATTTCTAACAAACACATTTTTACTAACTAATTTTAAATAATGACCTATATTATTAATGAAGTTATAAAAAAAAACTCAAAGTGTCCATATATAATAAAATCCAGTGACTATCAGAATATCCTTTTTGATGACATCATAAAATCAAGTGATGATGTGTTATGAATTCATAATAAATAGATTCAAGAATGTATTGCGTTAGGTTCAGTGGGCGAAACATGAAATTCTGCATTAGGTCAAATCAATATTCAATCATTCATTTTCTTGTCGGCTTAGTCCCTTTATTAATCCAGGGTTGCCACAGCGGAATGAACCGCCAACTTATCCAGCACATTTTTATGCAGCGGATACCCTTCCATCCACAAACCATCTCTGGGAAACATTCACACACACACACACACACACACACACACACACACACACACACACACACACACACACACACACACACACACACACTCATACACTACGGACAATTTAGCCAACCCAATTCACCTGTACCGCATGTCTTTGGACTGTGGGGGAAACCGGAGCACTCAGAGGATACCCACGCAAACGCAGGGAGAACATGCAAACTCCAAACAGAAACGCTAACTGACCCAGCCAAGGCTCGAACCTGTGACCCAGCGACCTTCTTGCTGTGAGGCGACAGCACTACCTACCACCCACTGCGTATATAATATATAATATAATATGTAACTCTATTATTTGTTCATTCAGTATTCAGTGCTATCTGAGCAGGCTTTGCATACTTTATGCTCTGGTGGAAACAGTGGGATGTCCAATGTTCAATCAGTAACATATGAGTGTCTGTTTGGTTTAGGACGGAACATAGTTTAAAAACAGAACTATACTGTATTTAATACATATAAAGGTCATGTGACATTAAAATGCATTTTTTTAGATGTTAGTGTCAGTATGTTAGTCTTAGGGATGTCTACACTCACTGGCCACTTTATTACGTACACCTGTCCAACTGCTAGTTAACGCAAATTTCTAATCAGCCAATCACATGGCAGCAACTCAATGCATTTAGGCATGTAGACATGATCAAGATGATCTGCTGCAGTACAAACAGAGCATTAGAATGGGAAGAAAGGTTATTTAAGTGACTTTGAACATGGCATGGTTGTTGGTCTGAGTATTTCAGAAACTGCTGATCTAATGGGATTTTTGTGCACAACCGCCTCTTGGGTTTACAGAGAATGGTCAGAAAAAAAGAAAATATCCAGTGAGCGACAGTTCTGTGGGTGCAAATTCATTACAACCGCTACAAACTCGTTACAACCGAGGTATGCAGAAGAGCATCTTTGAACACACAACACATCCAACCTTGCGGCAGATGGGCTACAGCATCAGAACATCTTACCTGGTGTCACTCCTGTCAGTTTAGAACAGGAAACTGAGGCTACAATTCGCACAGGCTCACCAAAATTGACAATAGAAGATTTTTAAAAATGTTGCCTGGTCTGAGTTTCGATTTCTGCTGTGACATTCATAAAGCCGAAAAATTTTAGACTACTGTCGGACATGTCCCGTCCCCCTTCAAGAAGCTTTTCATTTGATGCGCTTGAGCTCAACCACTCTCGATGGCTGTGATAAAAACACTATTGGCTGGGAGGAGCTATTATCTAGCCATCCAACTATACTAGCTATATGTTGCACTCTCCATGTTTCAACTGAGATTAGTGCTGGGACGTTCGGATAATTTTACTGACTCAGGCCTTTGAGTCTCATTCACTGAATCTTTTTCTGAGTCATTTCATTCAACTTGCCAAAACATTATTCAAATGTTACGAGCAGCTTCCAAACACATCTACAACTGGCCCAAACCTTAATCACACTACAAACATAACAAGAACGCTTTAAGAAAGAGAATATAAATCACTCATTGTTTATCTAGTTTTGTGTCTATGATTAGGTCAGCTCAGCTAACACGTTTTAAAATTTGGGTCGGTCGTTCACAGTCTGATTATTTCTCCCTTTGAGTCTTCATGTTTGAGTCATTTGTTCATCACTTGACAGCGTGTAAAGAGATTACTCAAAACCAACCCGAAAAAACAAGAGATGGACTGCATATGATTGGCTTATGTCTTTCACGTGATGAACGAACAACTCAAATGCGATAGAGGACTGGAAAAAGGAATGAATCTTCTACTCCAACTGAATGAACAAATCACTCGCTGAGAGGACTCATTCAAGAACGACCCCTGAGATTACATCAAACATCTTAAAAAAAATTCAGGGCACTTCATGGGACCTTTAATGGTATGCTCTGCAAAATAAATCATACTCAGAGATACCGATGTTCGAGTGGTTTTACCCATTCAGGTCTTGTCGTGTGGTGACGGCGAGTGAAGATCCGTCTCGACCTGGTCGGAGCAGCATGTTCCCACAGTCTGGATGTCTTTCTAACAGCACCTCGGCTTCAATACGAGACACAGGCCTGAAACACCTGACAAACAATATAGACAATCACATCAATGCCTCAGTTTCTGGTAGAAAAACTAAGAATTATATCATTCACATTAATTAAATTAGCCCTGGACAAAACCATAGAACAAACATTTCCAAAAGCTGGTCTCACAAAATACTGAAATATTAGTATAAATATTGATGTTTTACAAGATAATCAAACAATACAGTTTCTGCAGAAGTAAACAGTTTTATATCTCTGACATTTTAACTTAATTGTAGTGCATTCATTAAAGTTAACTTGTACCTTTATCCTTTTGCTTATAAATAACTTCCAATAAAAGTTAGTAATACTTTATTTCACCTTGGTTTGATTCATGGCTCATAAAACTTCAACAAATGCTTTTTAAAGATCCTGATGGGAACATATGACTGAACAAATACTTCCTGATCTTGAAGTAAAACAGAAAAAAGTGATGCAGTCTATTCCTGTCGACCATATCGAGTCTAGTATATTCTGTCAATAGACAAGAAGCTATAAATAATACTGTACCTTAACCACAACAATAACCCACACAGCTTTGAAAAAAAGACAGAAACCACTGTATATCATACACAATTACATCAGATATTCCAGTGTAGCTCCAACTTTGGAGTTCTGAGAAATTATGGTTGAAAAGAAATAGCAAATAGTCTCTCGGTGGATTATTAATAATTTTTATTAATTACAAACATTAATTAATTAATTAAAAAACGTTCCATCTAAATATTTTTTAAAATATATCTAAATAGAATTTTTTTTTTTATTTCAAAGAGATGTTTATTTCACAACAGCTGTTAGACATTTTACAACATTTTTTTTAAATTAAGTTCCCTAATCAGGAAAAGCAAACAAAAAACAATTACACAATTCCTGATGATAATAACAGCAATATATCCCTTTACACAAAAACTATTTACAGAAACAAGTGTGAGTGGACATAATATTTATAAATAGGCATGAAACTTTTATATGTTTTTATATGTTTTATAACAGAAATGCATTAGGTTAAATATGATTTATACTCTTATTTTTTTATCCTGTATTTGGACCAAAAACAAACAAATATTGTTGGAGTGGCCAGGGATTTCAAATCCCTTCTCTTGAAGCAAAAATGCCGCTACAAATATATATTTTTGATTATTCATGTAGTTTTTTTTATAATAAATATACTTGTAACAATTTTAAACTTGACATAAAAAAGAAACATTATGTTGAGAAAAAAAGTCTATACAACTAAAGTTTTTGTTTTTACATTAAAACAAGTTGTTAAGAAATAACTACATTTGTTTTTTTCCAATTCCATTGGTCCCACCAGGCCATTACAAAAAATCCTTAGTGTTTAGCCCCGAATAAGTCTAAAATCTCATTCATAACGATCCTAAAATGGACTTAAAAAGTCCTAAATTTGACATGATGAAACCTGCAGAAACCCTGATAGTAAGGGCTAATAATTCTGACTTCAACTGTACTGTACGTAAATTAAAGTTGGGTTCCATTTTATGGTTGTGAGAAATCCTCTAAAACAAGATTCAGTAACAAACACAGTTCTCCAAATGGATGAGAAGTTGTAAATAAAACATTAACTAAACCACATACACTTCACCTCATAAAACACGACTACAAATAATCCAAACAAAGCCAGAAAGCGCTGTATAAACACTAAAACCTCACATATATTATTCCAGTTCCCAGAAACGACATATAAAACAACATGCACACGCAAGAGATTATGTTTACTATTTATTTTAGTGCCAAATAAAATGCATGGAATTTATATCAGGTAGGAAAAAACACATTTAAGTTGCTTTCAAAAGAGCATCAGCAATGGTAATGTTTTTGGACTAGATAAACACACAGAGACTCAAGAATGTGCTCTTCTCCATTAAACACACACTTGCTTGTATAAACAGATACTCACGCAGGTATTTCCCCTACCAGCGGCAGGGAGAGCGGGGACGACGGGGCTCTGGAAGACGCACGTGCCTTTCGACGCATTTTTTCTTTCTCCACCACTTCTCTCAGCATGTGCAGCTGCCCGGGCAGGAGGGTGAGTGTGGTGGGCACCGCCAGCTGGAACCCAGAGCAAAAGCATGTGTCACTCCGATTTGCATGCTTGAATATGTTGGCCATAGTGACGTATTTTAGGCACTCTGATCGCTTTATCTATGAAAACTGATTGACAATGAGCAGAATTACCAAAGAAGCGGTGTGGTTTTAGTGGATATGTCGTCGTATGTATTTTTATTAGTAGCGCATCGTGTTTTATGATGGAGAGAAAGGCAAGTAAATTTTACTGCATGTCTAAAGTCCAACAAAAATATATATCATATATAAATAGATTTAATTATAAATAAAAAGTTGATGTCAAATAAAAAGCAAACTAGTTTCATTTTATATGTGCATATTGAATAATATTCAACTATATTAAGTATAACAAAGTCTAGAATATGCTAAAACCTGTGTAAAATAAAACAAAAAAATTTTGATGTAGGTAATTATGGGTGCAAAATTAAAATTAATAAATGCATTTAACATAGACGTATCCCTAAAGGGATAGTTCACACAAAAAATAAAATATACTCCTTATTTACTCTCCCTCCAAAGCGTTTTGAGTTTCTTTTTTTCTGCTGAACACAAAAGATGCTAGAAACCGGTTACTACTGACTTCCATAGTATTTTTTTTTCCTAATATGAAAGTCAATAGTTACCGGTTTTCAACATTCTTCAAAAGATCTTCTTTTGTGTTCAACAGAAGAAAGAAACTTAAATAAGTTTTATAAAGTGAGATTGGTCCAATTTAAGGTTCTCCGTTGCTTCCATCATACTAAAGCAAAGTTGCATACATTTTTTCCCTCCATATCACCATTAAGTGACAGGTGCAAAGTGACAGTTTTTGTCCTTTGTTATATACATTTTGGTCAAAACTGTTACTTTTTAAATGCCTTAAATGGTACTTTAATTAACTGAATGCATCCTTTTGGAATAAAGGTATTACTTTAAAAGTTTGGTGACTGAATGATTTTCTAAAATAGGCTGAAAACATTACAAAATGAAACAGAAAACCTTTAGACAGAGGTAATTTTAGGTGAAAAGTAAAAATTAATAAGGTTATTTAGGTAGGCTTATCTTAAAGGGATAAACATTTTTTAAAATATATTTTTATAAGAAACTCAAATCTTTTCCAGCATGTGGCAGGTTTCTGCAAAATGTACCTCATATTGGCCCACACGAAATCTGTATGAAAACAGTACAATTTGCAATATTTTCTGTTTTTTAGTGGGTGTGTTTTATATTATATTATATTATATTATATTATATTATATTATATTATATTATATTATATTATATTATATTATATTATATTATATTATATTATATTATATTATATTATATTATATTATATTATATATTATATTGTGCGTTGGCAAAAACAAACAAAACATCTGCTTGTGTCTTGTCAGTCTAGTCTTGTCTATTTAAACTCCTGATATACAATTGTCTGAGCATACATACATGCACAAGTGTAAAAAAGCATAATAAAACCCCTTTAAATGCTAGTGAATGTCAGCATCTCCACCAAACTCCTTCTCAAGATACACAAAAGAAAATGGAAATGCAACTAAGTCGTTCCTAAACAGAAAGAAACAGCATTCTTGGAAACCGGTCATAAACCTCCTGTAGTTGAAAGGTCTCAGATCTGATTACCAAACTCAAACAACAGTATTATTCATGACTACGTGCATAACAGTACACGGCTGACTGAGATTCATTGTTCTGGACTATTTATTGACATACATAGTTGACCTAAATCTAGTGTACAATAACTCTGGAAAAAGCACGAGCGGTAAGTTAAACTTGCACCGTTTTCATTGTAAGGGTTTAAACTCCTCTGTGAGACTAAAGAGGAATACACAGCATATTTACTTCTGCTTAAAAACACACATTTAGATTTTTTTAACACTATTTGGCAACCCTTTCTTTCACATTTAAAAACAAATATTAATAAAATAATAAAGATTTGACAAAATGATGGGAAAGAGGGAAAAATAAACTATACCTGACCCATTTTTCTTGCCTTTTGCTTAGTTATAAATGGAGAGTACAGAAAAAAATACATATTTACAGTATTTGTACTTGTATATTTTTCTGTATTGCTGTATGGCCCAATATGCAATTAATTTATTATGTAAATTTATTTATCCTATTATTATTAATATATATTTTTTGTGTTTTGCCTTAAATATTGATTGTAATGCAAGAATGTTTGATCTAGAGAGGAAGAAAACGTGAACTAATTTTCTTTTCTGCTTATAGATTGGAACAGTTGATGTCTTGTGATTCTTTAAATTTGATACTGTAACTCTTTGACTAACATGCATCAATAAAACTAAGAGTTAATCTACGAACAGACATGTACTTACATCTACGACAGAGTACAGAAAACCTTTCCACAGCTCACGCGCCTCCAGACTCGGTGCCTATGAGAAAACAGAGAGAGATGTTTACATTGACTGTGTATTAACACTCTAAATAAAACTGTAAATTGACAGTGTCCCCATTTTGATTCATGTTTTTTTTTCCCCACTTATTGATCCTTTTGAATTGCATTATGGGACCTTGATCTTTCCTCCAAAAGCTTTGGATGTTGAAATCTTTGTAAAAGTGACTTTTATTGACATTTTTATTAATACAAGTGATCTAGAGATGAATAACCAACTTACGCCATACATGACATTACACAGGTTCCCGGTTGCAATAGCAAACATGTCGTGTTGTGCGGTAGGATGCCAAAATCGAAAGTTTAAAAACAGAAAACTGAACTTTTACCGTCAACTACACTGCTTTTAATGCCAACCGCAGACATCTTTGGCTAAAAGGAAGCCGAATGGTGTGACGACCTAATTAAAAGTGCTCGACTCTGCTGTACTCATTTTATTTCAGGTAAGTTCACGCTATGCTGAATCACATGTTACTTGTTTTAGATTGCAGCAATGATTTTAGCAAAAACAGTTACATACTGTTAATTAGTTACATACTGTTAATTAAACTCCGGACACTGAATGCTAAGAATGTATTGTAAAAATGTACGTTCACATAATCTGCGGTACTGGTGCAGTTCACTGTCAGAGTGGAGTTTTGCTTGTTGCTGATTAATTACCCAGGCCATGTAGTCCCGTTTTTTTTCCTTATCTTTCGCTAGGCAGAACCACGGTTTTAGGCACTACAAAGTTTTGAATCTGGTAATCATGAAACATTATTTCTTTGATCCCACAGAACAAAATTGCAGGCATCCAAAGACTTGTAGGCCTTTAACTTCACTCTTGTAAAATTAGTTGGAGTTTCATGAGAGTTGTATATTTGGGGCAGGACGCTTGGCCATTTCGTCTTATCCAATATCCACTGGGAGGGTGCTATCGCAGATGGACCTGTCAGATTAACGCCGCTCACTTTATCACTGGGTGACAAGCTTTTATAATAAGCTGAAATCATTATGTAAATAAAAAATATGTATATATATATATATATATATATATATATATATATATATATATTATATGTAATCAATATAACTTATCTCTAATATGACAACAAACTCTGTACCGCATCGGATGTCGTTCCCTCACTGTAAAAAACAGCGCTCCTGGGTCTTTTCTGCAACCTCGCTGCTCGCGCACCCTGAATGTGTACAAACATGGTAATTCGTCTATGGTCAGGGTTGGTGTTATGATTTACAGTACAAAACCTGGAAATAAGCTGCCAGTACATTTTCTGTTATTTTACAGACTTATTTCTCGATACATTATTTCTTAAAAAATGTCTCAAACAATCAAAATGTCAATAAAAGTCAGTCTTTTAAAACTTTAGAGTTAAATTTTCAAAATTGAAAGTGGACGGAGCGGAAATAAAACTTCCATGATGCAATTCACAACTGTAAATAAACAGAAAACGCATGTGAAGCATTAAATATGGAAACTATTAATTAACAGAAACATTTTTTCATGCAACAGTTGTGTCTGGTTCTCAAATCAGATTGGCTGATAGCCGTGCAGAATTTTGTGATAACAGCTCTTGTACAGCCTCTTCACTCTTGTGTATTACTCCGCCCACATATAGTGACAGCAAACTCAAACTCACTACAGTTTGACAAATATTGCAGCTGTTGGGCAACAACGTACTTTTGAGGATTTTCTGAGGTGAGAATGTAGTTGTTTAGATTGCAAATATGCAGTTTACTTTTAAGGATAATGGCTATTTTAAATATTTATAATTTCTGAGATTGGCGGCCATCAGCCTATCATACTGAGCAGAGCAAAGACGGTTGTGCCACAAGATCGTGACCTAGACCGCATAATAAGCCCTTAAAGGCGAAAAAACAGCATAATTTTTAACTACAGCAAATCATTATAAAACAGGTAAGTGACTTTCTATGTCGATCTCTCTCTTTTGTATGTTGTAGTTCAGTATTTATACCATAGTAATCTAGTGTTTGCTTTGCTTTGGCTTTTTCGGGGTTAATTATTGTGATCTCCCGATTGCAACAAACAAACACTGGGAAATCTCTGTAGACTGATGGCATTTCATCCCGTTCAGCCCTATAAAATAAAATGTTAGCAAAATTACCTGTTTTGTCAACACTTTAGACATTATGCTAGAGAATCATTCACACTGTTCAAAAGGTTTCTGCTGTTCTGACTGTCAGCTGCAGATGTGAATGAATGGCAGAAGAAAGTTCCAAGTACAAAACCGTGTTTGATTTTTATTTATTTTTTTGATATACACGATTATGCCATCGAACTGCTGTAAAAACGCAAAATCAAACTCAAAACAGTCATATCATGGCTATATATCATCACTGGTGGGACACTAAGGCACCCAGCAGTGCTAATATACAGCTATAATCACACTGGTACTCGTGACATTGCTCATTTGCAGTGTATACTTCCATGCAAACCTAAAAATATGCATTACATTACAGTCATACGGCATCCAACATACAATCTCCATATCTCTTATTATCCAATGCAAAGTTTGTCCACCCAGCTCCAAGTACATTGGAATCTAAGAATAAAGGTTTCATAGAACATTAAACTACTCATTCCTCTGAGGTATGCAAGGGGTTTGTCAGAGGAAGTATCAAAATACAGTATCAGTCAATGTTGTTTTTATGCAGGAAATCTCTGTACGGTCCCTCTAGCAGACCTCTGATTCTGCATGCAGAGGAAAAAGCAAGAGTTTCCTGAACATAAACTGATCATGATAGTCCTACAATGTATGCTCAATGTGAAAGCATCCATATTAGCGCTAAATTAATATGTATTTGACTCACTTTTCTGGTGAGAACTTTAGCTAGCATTATGCTATGCTAACTATCTAACTTTCCAGACAGATGCCGAGTTACTACATAATGATGTTATTAATTCTCACTTTAACTCAGTTTAGTTGAGGTTAGTGGAGTTAAAAGCATATTTGCTGTCTATTAGCTAGAACAAATCTACATGTCCTTGTTGATCTTTTGAATGTTTGAAATCTATAAAACGCCTCTCGGGCAGTATGTTTGGGCATTCTGTTTGATGGGAAAAACATCAAATTCTCCAAAACTGCTTGCCAAGCTTATGATTGAATTTCATATTAGGAATCACCAATAAAGTTAAACAACATCTGTACCATAAGTTTCATTTCTAAACATCCAAATCAAACTACATCTGCAGAAACTCACGTCAGGTCTTAGCCCCACCCTCCCAGTATCGTCAGAATATTGATTGATGATTTGCTCGTGTACTAGAAGGCGGGATTTATTTGCCATATATCGATCGATGACTGGCTCCTGTACTAGTGGGCGGGGCTTTAATCACCATATTGACGGTTACACTTTTCTCCATTTAAAAAGATACGAGTGACATGTCTTGTGTATTCTACAGTCTTTGATGTTAAGCTGTCTTGTTTGGGCTTAGAAAGTGGTATCAAATACATTCAATTGGCCATCTTCTCAGGACGCCTAGAACCAGTTTAACCCTGTTGAAAAAAAATCCGCATATGATTTTAAATTTAGATTTTGAGACTTGGTCGGTGGTTCAAGTTGTTTTTTTTTTTTTCATTTTTTTTTTTTTCTGGTCATCTAAGGTGGTTCTTTGCTGGTCATGTATTGTTCAGGACCAACTTAAATCATCTCATGACCAGCAATAACCATCTTAAACCTGCAGAAATGTGTCCAAACCTACCTAACCAGTATATGCTGTTTTTTTTAACAGGAAAGTACTCCAGGCTCATTTTTTTACCATTTTATAGCACAAACACCTTCAAACCATTGACAGCTTTGGAATTTTAGATGTTTCTCTTTGTCGTTGCAAAATGTCCTAAAAACAAGTTCTGGTCCCTGTGCAACTGATACTTAACTGCAATTGGCTCATCTGCAAACTTACTGATAGTTTGCAGATTTTTTTTTTCAGATTTTAAAAGTGAAACTGCCAGATTTGTTCATATAGGAAAGTGTGCAAGGATTAAGATTTGAAGAGTTACTGCACCTAATAATAAATATTGTGTTCTAAATCATTCACCCTTATGTCGTTTCAGATCTTTGTTCATCTTTAGAACACAAATTAAGATATTTTAGATCAGTGATGCCCAAACTAGGGCCTATATAATGTATAAAATGTATACATTTAAATGTATATGAAATGTACAAAAATGTATAATTAATAATGCAATTAATTTATTTTATGTGTAATAAATTATAGTATTAATTAAAGTAAATAATAAATTATAAAATGAATTATAATAATAAATTAGGAAATTACATTGACAACTTTACAGTTTGGTTTATTTACCTCCTTGTTATTTCAGATATCGCGGTGAGCTCAAGCAAGAAAGCGAACCGCTTGCGCTTCAGACTGGCTCGTAAAAAACTATGGGGCACAGGGTAAATCTATTTAGGAAAAAATTAGGAAATTACATTAACAACTTTACAGTTTGGTTTATTTACCTCCGGCCCACCACCCTCAATCAAGTTTAGTTTTTGGGCACCATTGTTTTATGGCTCGTTTCCACTGACTGGTACAGTACAATACGGTTTGGGTCGGTACGGGTCACCTTTATCAGGCTTGCGTGTCCACTACCAAGGGTACCCTTTTGGTGGGCATGGTGTATGACAGAAAGTTTCAGTCGACGTCATTATCGCTCGAGAAAATGTCTACGTAAAGCTGTATGGGTCGCTGACATAAAAGCGTACCAAACCGAACCGTACCATACCACTCAGTGGAAGAGCTTTATTATCTTACCTGACATTTTAGAAGAAACTAACCCTTTAGGAAGATCATTTCCAGAAGCTCTTGAAATTTAGTATCCCTGGTCTGTGAAAGATATGTGTGTGTGTGTGCTGACAGACATCTGATACTCACAGTGAGCTTGATTTCTCCATCCTTCATGCGCAGGTTCAGTCGAGCTGCTTCCAGATTCCTGTCACGACTCGGGTCATCGATCAAAGACACGAAGCCACTGAGATCCAGCTTCTCCACATACTAATCAAAACACACACACACACACAGCCATTTCTAAAGAAACAGTTCATCTAAAAATATAAATCACAACAATATAAACCCACACTGCGTAAAAAGAGCACATAATTACCTTCCATGAGCATCCATGCAAATATTAGGTTTCCACGCAGTGCGGTTCTTTGCATATCTGTACTTTGTAACCTACTAGATAAACTAGCTCATCCACAGCAGAGGTTATAGAGGCTGAAAGTGCCATCTTGATGGCTTCAGAACGAAAATCAATAGTGAAACCTCAATTAAGTGAAGTCTGATAAAACCGGCCGGCCTGACTCTCAGCCATCTGCTCTCCACAGCTGAGTGAACTCGTTCAGAGTTCAGATAACCGTATGATGGACTTCAATCTTGAAGAGGATTTGTAGAAAAGTGTCCTTTTAGATCTGGGCCCATATATTTACTAAATGTTTCACTAACAGTTCACCAAAATACCAGCAGTAAAAGCAGTAATGGTCAGAAAGCTGCTGAGAAAACATTTACTAAAGATTCTAGAAAAGCCTGAAAAGAAAGAGGGATTGTTGTAGCTCTAAATGATGCGAGCATGACTACAAATTAATGCTGGGCAAAAAAAAACGATCGGGATCAATCGGATCCAAGACAAAAATTAATTTTGACAACATAAGTGTGGGGCCTCACGGTGGCACAGTGGGTAGCACGATCACCTTACAGCACGAAGGTCGCTGGTTCGAGCCTCGGCTCGGTCAGTTGACATTTCTGTGTGAGGTTTGCATGTTCTCTCGTGTTTGCATGGGTTTTCTCTGGGTGCTCCAGTTTCCCCCACAAGTCCAAAGACATGCGCTATTGGTGAATTAGGTAAGCTAATTTGTCCATAATGTATGTGTGTGAATAAGTGTGTATGGATGTTTCCCAGAGATGGGTTGCAGCTGGAAGGGCATAAGATGGGTAAATCTTATGCTGGATAAGTTGGCGGTTCATTCCGCTGTGGCGACCCCGCATTAATAAAGAGACTAAGCTGAAGGAAAACGAATGAATGAATTAAGGTGTACTGTGCATATTTATCATCAGGTAAATCATCTTGAAAAATCTGGTAGCCCGAAGTTCCGAGGCTACTGTTTTTTTTTTTAGTCGAGCTACTAAAATTGTTCCCGATGGGTTATTTAGAAAGCCTGTCAGACTCGGTGTAGAAAGATTTTGGTAGCACGACTGAAATATACAAATAGCCCCGGGTGTATATATAATTATAGGGCTAGGACTATATATATTACTAGGACTATATAATAATAGTCCTAGTAATCAGTAAATGAGTAGCTTCAGCTGTGTCTGTCTGCAATCATGGGGATCTAGGCCAGGTGTGTGAGTGGTGCATGACTGGATCTTGTAGTCTATTTAATGACGGATTTGTAGTTCTTCTCAATACTGCGTTTACCAGCGATCTGCACAGGCTGGATCGCTGGTGATCTTGACCCCGGGACTTCAGGCTACCATATTTTGTAAGCCCTGATCATGCATATATACCCTCCTGAATACAAATATTAGAAAAAAAAAGTTTATTTATATTTAGATATAAAATGATATATATAATACAAATGATATATACATTTACAATTATATGTGATGAAGTTGTGTATGGTTTTGTTTCTTGTATAGTTTTGTGATTAATTTTTGCCCATGCTGATTGGCTGATGGAAAGGGGAGGGGTCTTAATCAGAGATTTATTTATGAAAACTTTGTAAATTGCGATCTTATGTTGCCACATTCAAATAAAGATTTTAATATGTAGGCTAAGTGACACACTGTACTGCACGTTGTTTGCATTTCATGTTTTAAATCTTTGCTAAAGACTTTTTTATTCTTAAAAAGATACTTTTAATTATTTATTTTAAAATATATTTAGAAAAATATGTAAAAATGTGTCTTTATAGAACATATTGTTACCTTAATTGTTTTGGTCATTTTTTGTGTATTTTAAAACAAACGTAAAATTATATAATTTTTTCCTTAAAAACGGCTCATTGTGGCCAAATGTATTGAAAATGTTTTCTTTTTACAGTAGATTGCCTAAAACAGCCATTTGTGGACAGCATTTTGAAGTACTGCACGTGAGACGAGAGACGGAAACGTCAAAGTCTAAAAAAAAAAAAAAGTGTTTTTGTGCTTGATTGAGATGAAAAAGGTTAATGCAATTAATGACAGATAGAATCTTATTTGTCCAATAAAGCTCTCTTAGGGGCCGATCATACTGAACGCACTTTTTTTTGCGTTAAGAGGCGCCTTTTATGAATAATTTACTAACGGTCACAAACATTGTGCATGCTGCTTATGCGCCCTCACGTTTTTACCAGCTGCTGCGCTTTGTGTTTTTGCCATTGTGCGCGGTGTGCTCGCAGTTAAAAAAAAGTTAACCCTGAGCGGAAAATATGCGTTACGTCAGTCGCTTACGTTTCACTCTCCAATCAAATGAAAGCAGAGGCGGGGTTTCCGTTGGGGTACTTGTGTTGTCAAGACGACTACAGAGACTTTTGAAAATGAATGAGAGACTTGTGGTTGCTGTTTTGAGTTATTAGGAGCTGCATGAATCACAAACCTTGAATATCACAATATCATTAAATTTTAAAATTATATTACCAACAACAGCAACACTCATGCACAATATGCTGCTGATTCAGTCATTGCCTAGTGAGGTAAAAAGCACACCATACGTCTTTTTTTTTCTTGTCAACAAAAATGGCAGTGTGGTGTACCTTGAGTTTTTGGAACGTAAAAGCATGTTTCCAATGTCATTTCTTCATTCATTTTCCTTCGGCTTAGTCCTTTATTCATCAGGGGTCACCACAGCGGAATGAACCGCCAACTTATCCAGCATATGTTTTACATAGCAGATGCCCTTCCAGCTGCAACCCAAAACTGGGAAACATCCATACACACTTATACTCTGTCCAATTTAGTTTCTTCAATTGACCTATAGCGCAAGTCTTTGGACTTGCAAACTCCACACAGAAATGCCATCTGACCCAGCCAACGCTCAAACTAGTGACATTCTTGCTGTGAGGCAACAGTGCTAACAACTGAGCCACCATGTCACCTTTTCTTTTGTCTTTACCTTTTTATTGGTTAATTAGGGCTATCATTGTTTGCAGGTGTGATATCTTAAGTTTGACTATGGCTGCGTCCGAAACCACATACTTCCACACTATATAGTATGCTAAAATCAGTATGCGAGCTGAGTAGTATGTCCGAATTCATAGAATTCGAAAATCAGTATGAGAGAAATACCCGCATGACTTACTACTTCCGGCGAGATTCTGAAGAGCGCATTCCATGTATGCTGAGGTATCCCATGATGCCCCGCGAGAGAATTCATGAATGGAACTGAAGCGACGCAACTGACGTAGGTAGGTCACTTGACCATGACAAAATAGCGGATGGAGTATGTCCAAATTCCATTCATACTTCTCACATTCATACTGTATAGAACGTACTTTTCTAACTGTTGAGTAGTACGTTTAAATTTAAATGCAGTTCCTACTGAGTAGTAGGTGATTTCGGACGCAGCCCACATCTAGGGTTCTCTTGTATTTCCTGTGTGACCTAATGAAGACCTTAGGCCTGATGAAACGTTGTCTAATGAAATTGTTTTTTGAGAGCTAAAGTAGCAGTGTGCCGATTTGGTTTACTTCTGTCTTTAATTTGTTTGGCTTGATCAAGCATCTGCCCGGAAATTTGCTTAGATGTGATTACTTTCTTTACAGGCCCAGAGTACTAATGCTCCATTGACATAGAGAACTGGATATAAACAAGTGTATGAGCACTGAGCAGACAAACTTACATGTGTGTCCTTAGGGTTGTTGTAGAAGTACAGTGTGTTTCCACATAAACAGGTCCACAAGCGGCGAGCAACCTGCATCGACAGAGAACAAAAGCAATGTTTTCAGAACAAGCCCTTTAAAATGTGACATATCATGAATATTAAACTATTGTCATGGTGCATCTGGAAGTTAAAATCTCTTCCTCTACATCATTGTCTAACTCTGCTTTGAACATGTACTGTAAGGCTTTAATCTGCTGCACACTGTAAAAGTAATGCTGGGTTCCACACTATCGATTTGTGTGCAGGGTTCATGCAGGTTTCACGAAGTCAACTTTAAGACCATCAAGAATGAAATTTCAGACCTATATAGCAAAAAACAAAAAACTAAAGTACTTGCCCCACCAAAAGACTGATTCAAATTAGTTAGATCTTAGCCACATATTTTAAATAATGTGTCAAAACAAGCAGACCCTAGTTGTATGGGTATTTTTTATTTATTTAAATTATGTTGAAAAAAAAAGTCTCTAAAAACTTCAATAAACTACATGTACGCACAACATACTGCTATAATATTATTAACAGTGCATCCAGAAAGTATTAACAGCGCTTCACTTTTTCCACTTTTGTTTATGTTACAGCCTTATTCCAAAATGGAAGAAATTAATTTATTTCCTCAAAATTCTACACACAATACCCCATAATGACAATGTGAAAACAGAGTTACTGAAATTGTTGCAAATTTAAAAAAATAAAATAAAAACCTGAAAAATCACATGTACATACTTATTCACAGCCTTTGCTCAATACTTTGTTGATGCACCTTTGGCAGCAGTTACAACCTCAAGTCTTTTTGAATATGATGCCACAAGCTTGGCACACCTGTCTGTGGGAATTTTTGCTCATTCCTCTTTGCAGTACCTCTCGAGCTCTATCAGGTTGGATGATAAGGGACAGTTTACAGCCATTTTCAGATCTTTCCAGAGATGTTCGATAGTATTTAGGTCAGGGCTCTGGCTGGGCCACTCAAGGACATTCACAGAGTTGTTGTGAAGACTGGAAGACTGTTCTGCTGGAAGATGAACTGTCGCTCCAGTCTGAGGTCAATAGCACTCTGAAGCAGGTTTTCATTCAGGATGTCTCTGTACATTGCTGCATTCATCTTTCCCTCTATCCTGACGAGTCTTCCAGTTTTTGCTGCTGAAAAACATCCCCACAGCATGATGCTGCCACCACCATGCTTAGTTGTAGGGATGGTATTAGCCTGGTAATGAGAGCTGCCTGGTTTCCTCCAAACATAACGCTTGGCGTTCACTCCAAAGAGTTCAATTTTAGCCTCATCAGACTAGAGAGTTTTGTTTCTTATGGTCTTGAGTCCTTAAGATGCCTTTTGGCAAATTCCAGGCAGGGAGAGGCTTCCATCTGGCCAGTCACCCCATACAGGCCTGATTGGTGGATTGCTGTACAGATGGTTGTCCTCCTGTAAGGTTCTCCTCTCTCCACAGAAAAACGCTGGAGCTCAGACAGAGTGACCACTGGGTTATTGATCACCTCCCTGACTAAGGCCCTTCTCCCCTAATCACTCAGCTTAGATGGCCGGACAGCTCTAGGAAGAGTCCTGGTGATTACAAACATCTTCCACTTAGGGATAATGGAGGCCACTGTGCTAATTGTAACTTTCAGAGCAGCAGAAATTTGTCTGTAACCTTCCCCAAACGACAGGATTGTCTTAGAAGTCTAAAGACAATTCCTTTGTCTTCATGCTTGGTTTGTGCTTTGACATGCACTGTCAACCCTGGGACCTTATATAGACAGG